AGCAAGGTAGTATGCAAAACAGTCATTGCTTAAAATAATCGACCAAGGGGGTTGTGCTTCAGCGGTGACACCGGGAGGACAAGGATGCTGGAAGGAAAACGACAAACCAGAGGTATAATGAGGTCTCTGCTTCAGATTTGGGGTTATGAATGGAGAAAGTGTCAAGGACAGTATCTGAAAGTGTTTTTTAATAACCTTACACCAGGTAGATAAAGCTGATGTATTTGCACTATCACACAGAAAGACTGGGGAAGAGTAACTGCTTAATGCAAATAATATACAGCAATATTATACATATGTATGTATAAATACATATTCACACACACATACATTGGATCTTAAACTTGTTCAGGATGTCTCAGCCAAACAAAAATGATAGTGATGAAGATATTAAAAACATAAAAACACAGCAGTGACACCAACTGTGGATCTTTCCCTCCAGAGAACAGATGTTACTTCAACTGTTCCATCTGCTGAGGCTGCAAACATGGCTCTCAATTCCTCTTTCCTGGAATGACCAAAGAAAACAAAACAACTACCCACAAAACTCATTCCTGCAAACACAAATGCTGTTGGTGCAACTGACTGCCCATTCATTACCAGGTAGTGGGACAGGCCTTTGGCTGAAAGGTTCTGAAAAACACGGTACAGTGACATGATCCAACAAGGAATGTGTGCCCTCCCTGGTCCCCACGGCCCCGCCAGGTCCAGGATTCCAGTCCCAGCTCAGTTCCTGCAGCCCCCCTGGTGACTGATTTGTATCATTCCCAGCTAGACAGAAACTATGGAAAAAGCAGTTTTACTGGAAGTACCGTATGGGCTTGAGCACACAATGCCAGTGGATGCACTGAGGGAAAACTGCTGGAGTTCATCCCCCCAGGTGTGTTTTAGGGACAAACACCTACCTAAAGATGAAACACACCCCCCCACGCCCCATCCTGCAGCTCCAAACACCAAGCCTGCCTGCCCAGAGACACACACAACTTCCTCCCACAGGGAATCAGCCCAAAATTGCTGCAAATACTCCAGCTGTTTGCATAAAGGAAGAGCAGCAAGCCCAATGAACCTCAAAGGCCTCAGATACACACTCAGAGCTGGTACATCTGAGCTGAGCTGTGACATTTCTGGGAAAAGCAGTGGCTGGGAGCACCTGCTGCCAGGTGGGCAAATCCTCTGGTCCGTGCTCTCTGTGCCTGCAGCCCAAGGGCCTCTCCAACAAAATCCCCATCCCATGCCATCATTTCTACATTAGAAACCAGACTCAGCACGAGCTGTAGCACATCCATCCCACTGAGCCACCAGCAGGACAGGGACCAAGCCCAGGAAACTTCCCCCTTCCAGCCCTGTGGCACAAATTTCAGCACCCCTTATAAAATCCCCCCTTCCTATCAAAACCTCTGTGCCTCTGCTAGCTCTAGCCCCAGGATAAACATCACCTCCTCTCCCAACAGGAGCACACAAAGTGAAGGTGGAAACGTTTAAGCTCAACCAAAAACACTTAGTATCAGAAAATAAATAAATAAATGGATAAAGAAACCCAACAAAAACCACACAGTGATTCTGAGGCAGAACAGTTATATTTTATACATTTTTATTTCTGTGGGGTTTTAGGTTTTAAATAACATGAGACATTTTTGTTCTGACTCTATACCTGAATTGCAACTCTCCTTCCTTTTCAGTAAACTTTGGGATAATTTTCACAGTAGACAGTTAATGATGATGAAATGGGAAAGAATTCAAAGTGCAGCTTCTCTGCAAGCATAAGCCTTCCAAACATTAATTTAAGGAATGGAAATAAAACTATTTTGAAAACTACTGATATTTTAAAAACCCAAAATTTTAATTATGTGGTGACCATGACTAAGCAGTTCTTAGAACACATTCTCAATTCCTGGCTGGTAATTTTTTTAAAACTACAGCTTGGTTTCCAAAGGCAGCACTACTCCATGACAGGCTCTGCCTCATGCTCCCAAAACACTCTGGACCAACAGCTTTAACTTGTTTAATTTATTTAATTTGCACTGAGAACATAGTGAGTTTTGGGATTTCCCTTGGCTACATGCACTCTTGGACATCACAAAATCATGAAATGGTTTGGGTTGGAAGGACCTTAAAGCTCATCCAGTTCCAGCCCCCTGCCATGGGAAAAGGACATTTTCCATTATCCCAGGTTATTCCAAGCCCCATCCAATCTGGCCTTGAACACTTCCAGGGATGGAGCAGCCACAGCTCCTCTGAGCATCTCTGTGCCATGGTCTCATCACCCTCACAGGGAAAAAATTCTTCCCAATATCCAGACAAAATCTAACCTCTGTTAGTTTGTAGCCATGCCTCTTGTCCTGTCACTCCAGGCACTCTCCAGCTATCTTGGAGCCCCTCTAGGCACTCAAAGGGGCTCTCAGGTCTACCCAGAACTTTCTCTTTTGGTGAACAGCCACAGCTCTCCCAGCCTGTCTCCAGAACTGGACTGATGAAATGCAACACCAGTTCTGTGATCCTGAGCCTTGCAGCTGCTAGATCTTTTAGATTTAGAGGAACTGCACACAAAAACCTTCTACTCTGGAGCTTCCTGTGCAGTAACCAGCCATGAAAAGATTTCTCCAAGACAAGAAGAAAATGAGAATTGCCAAGTGTACAGAAACCCCACTGTTGTAAATCACTAAGACAGCTTCTAAGAGTCACTTAGTTCCCATCACTAGCTGTTCCTAGGGGGAGAGCCAGCTGCACATCCCCACTGCCAAGCTCCTACACAGTAACACTCACACAATCAGTAAGAACAATCTACAGTTATTACCAGGTCCTGAGTACAGCCTTAGCAAGATTTCAAGTGTAAACCTTTAGGCCCAGATTTTTTTTTTTAAATGATCCTGCAGCACATATATATATATATATATATATATATATATAACATCTATATTTAAAATTATCTATTTACCTAACCTATAAAACTTTACTACAAGCCAGACTGCCATCTGGAGAAAAAACACCTTAAATTCAATTTCAAGTATTCATCAACATTAAAGTTGTTGCTCTAAGTCCTTTAAAGATCCTGAGACAAATACTCAATTATAATTAAGTAAATATCCAATCAAAATAATTATATAAATATTCAATCAAATATAAGGGAAAAAAATAAGTAAAAGAATGGAAGCAGCTCCCAGAGCAGCAGTACAACTTCCCTGTGCAGGCCAGCTCCCACCTACCCAGCCCAGGTTTTCCAGAGCCCTCAGCCTCTACAAGCTGGTCTCCTAGAAAACTTGGCAGCTGCCAGAGGCTGAGTTGTCTTTTCTTTTGCAGTCACTTGAGATTCTATGCATTGCTATCCCTCCTTGCTCAGTGACAGTGATTTCCAGGGAATGAACTCTTCCTACTTCCTTTTATCGTGTGAACTGCACAAAAAGGAACAAGGGATTGAAGGAAGCCAAGCAGTATTTTATTGACTCCTGGAAGACAGATATGGATTGCACACAACCCTGGAAAACTTTTTAAAATCCCAGAATTACCAACAAAAGAACTCTTCCTCATAAATAACCTGACAACACTCCTTCGTCCAAAGATTTTGGCATGGAACGTATTTCCATTACAGTTTAATGTTAACAGTTCATTCCAACAGCTAAAAAACTATGTCTATAATACTATTTAAATACTTTGTTCATATTTTTGACTTAATAAAAAAAATAGTTTGAGCTACTACTTTCCTAGTCCTCAAAAAAAAAAAAAAATTCAGAGAGACACCAACTTTTGAATGAGTACCTTAAAAATGTGTATTTCACCTGAGAGCAGTAATGACCCCAAGGAAACACACAGCGTGACCACCTTTCCCTCAACCCCACAGAAACATGTTCACACACTCAGCTACAGCCCCAAACAGAACTTCTGCAATGTGACCAAGACAAGGTCAATCCCAAAGGCTGGTGTCCCAGTACTTGCAAAATCTGACCACACACAACTGAATTCCTTCTTGTTTTGGAAGAGGTCAGTTTACACCTCAGTTGGATGATGACTCCAAGAGCCTTGTTAGGCCTGCAGAGGAGTGCTTTCAGCTTTGGTGAGAAGCTGACAGGGTGACTGAAGCCACCACAAAGGTGAATTTACCCAACCCTTCCACTGCAGCTTCTTCCCCCGGCATCTGGGAAAGGCAGTAACCTCTAGAAGCACCAACCCACTGAGGGGACCCCTGGATCAGACTCTCTTGTCTTCCCAGAGGAATGCTTGCTATTATCCACAGTACCACCCAAATGTCCTGTTTGCACCTCAGTGTCTTCCTCCCAAGACATGAACCCAGAGACTTCAACTAATGCACAAGTGATTTTGAGGTCTGATCAGTTTCTGAAGCTGAGGACAGGTTCCTACTCGAGCAGAAATGCCTTACCCTTCAAGACTGGCCAGAAGTGGGTTTACACCAAAGTCTTCAACACCCCAAGGACTTGCTGACCCCAGAGGTGCTGGGGCTGAGGTGCTCCTTCTACACAGCAGTTAATCAACCCTCAGTATCTCACTTCCACCTCACATTTTTACATAAAGCAGAAGTGTCCAAACCTTCAGGAAAAGCACTTTTTAAAGGAATAGTCAAAAGAGATGGACACACATTTGAGAGCAACTTACCTAATTAGCTTCATGATGCCCATCACACATGTAAAGCCCAAAGGCAAGGGAATCTCAGATACAACAATTTGGCTGAAAGCAGATATAACTCACAGGAAAGAAGTTTTAAGAACTGGTTTCTCTGTTACAAGAGATTCTAGAGGAGAGCAATTAATACCCAACAAGTGACTGGTTTTTGGCAACTCAGGCTTGGTGCCCTTAAAATAAGCAGATTTTTTTAAAGCTGTTACATTGCTGTTACAGTTAAGATTGTATTTGGATGAGCTCCTGGGGTACACAAATCACCTACTTCTAAACAGGCTTATGCATGTTATAGACTAAACTTCTTAACTTACAAATATTTATTTTGCTGTTTCCAGTTTACAATGGTAAAAAAATGAAGACTTCACAATGGGTATAAATGGGAGGTAAATGTATTTTTAAAAACAGAATAAAAAGCTGCATGTTAAAAACTGGCTCACAGACTAATAAATACATACATCAAAGACATGAAATTTTCAGCAGCTGGTTTTAAAGAGAAAGGAATTGGGAAAAAACTAGCTGTCCAGACTCCATTCTGGCTCTGTGGTCTATGTACTAAAAATATCTGCAGTTGAAAAACAAGTTAACAGAGGAGTAGAATCAGCTTTGTCGCCTATTTTCTTTTTTAAAAATTAAGCTACTTCCTAAAAGTGTGGTGTAAAACCTAGAGAAACTATTAATTTCTTCATGCACTTGATGACATTGAATTAAAAAAGAACTTATTTTAACCCAGAAAAAATGAGTCATTGTATACAGTAAGGACAGCCTTACTGCAAGTTTTCTACAGTAGAAGTATTTCTAGAAATACACCAGAAATTACTTTCTTATAACAAAATATACAATTATGTGTTGGATCATCATTGAGTTTCAATACTTAGGCAAAACAGAAACAGCTACTGTGAAGTTTCAAAAAAAACCCAAAGAAACTCAACTCCAAAGAGCAGAAAGATGTTTTGACGGCTGTGGAGATGCCAGAAAGCAATGCTGGACACCAGGAATCTCCAGAACAACTTCCTTTCCAAAGTGATGTGCAGTTTGTGAATTAGATTGTGAGAGAAAACTGATCCTGTTCTATGGGCTTCTCCACCCAGGCTCCAAGTCCTGCCTTCAGGAATGCTTTAAACAAACACTCTTTAGCAGTTTGATACTCAGTGGCTCCTTGCTTGGTGTCGTGGTACAGGTTGGGCTTGAGGATCTTTGAGCGCAAGCTGGAGGAAAGCTGTGGGGTTCAGAGACAAGAGAAGGAGAGAGACAAGACCTTATTAAGCCAAACAGTACCAGAGTGACTGAGTTATTTAAACAGCTGATATTCAAACAAGGATCTATCAAACTAAATGCTGAGGCCAAAAAGGCGCACACATACTTCCTGGAAGCTTTCTTTCTGAAAGTAAAAAGTGAAACCTCAGCAGAGAAAATGGGATTATTCTTCCAAATAAATTAAAATGCAAAGGCAAGCTCAAAGGGGACAGCATCCTTTGCTTACTCAGTTATAAACCAAGGAATATGTATTTTGGACCAGACATCATCATATTAAAAAGTCAGTTACAAAACACATTGTTTTTTTCCATTACTGCACGGAGCAGCAGCTACCTGGCCTCAAGTTGCACCAGGGGAGGTTCAGATTAGTTATTAGGGAAAAAAATTCACTGAAAGGGTTGTAAAACATTAGAACAGGCTGTCCAGGGAAGTAGTAGTGGGGTTACCATCCCTGGAAACCTTCAAAAAACGTGCAGATGTGGTGCTAGAGGACATGGTTTAATGTGAACGTGGTGGTGGTGCTGCATCAGTGATTGGACTTCACAGTCTTAAGGGTCTTTCCAGCCTTAATGGTTCTAACATGGGGCTCAACTTAAGAAAGGCTGAGAAAGTGACTTCTGAGCAGAGAAAGCACATGCAGGTATTTCCCTAAGACTTAAGAAGGGGCAATCCTTGCCCTCTGGAAGCTGTACCTTAGCATGGATGCGCATCCAGCGGCTGTAGAACGCATGCTTGCAGAGGCGTGACGCACGGCCCATCTCATCCTTGCCAGTTGTAGCATTAATGACTTCCAGACCAGAGTCTCCTACTGTCCAGTTCACACTGAAGTTCGGGGCTTTCCCTGGCTGACGGGCTTCTGCATTGCTGATACCTGAAAGAAAAGTGATGTTTAATGATGATAATAAACACAAATGCATGACTTTGGTTTTTTGTTGGGAAGTAAACAGTCTTAGAGGCAGATCTTTTATTTTGAGGGCATTCTCCTGCAGATTTCTCACTGACTCGTAGAGGTAGCACCATGAGGTAACAACAGTGAGGTAACACTCTCGTTCTGGCTAAAGTTAAAGTGTTCTCTAGTTCTGCCCTTCCCAGCAGGCCAAGTGTGCACTGCTGGAGAAAGCAGCCTCCTCAGCAGAGAGGATCATAGAGAGCTCTGTGGCAGGAGTTCATGAGGTTCATTTCACTTCCAAATGGATGTGAAACTATGAACCCTGGAAGTGTTCATGGCCAGGCTGGATGGGGCTTGGAGCAACCTCAGGTAGCGGGAGGTGTCCCTGCCCATAGCAGGGGGTGGAACGAGATGGGCTTTACAGTCCCAACACAAACCATCCTGTGATTCTACTGAAAGCGAGCCCCATCCTCAGCACGTTCCACAAAGCCAGAACTGGCAGGCATTTGGGTCTTCCAGCATAAATCCACTGTGTTCTAGCTGACTCCCCACTTTACACGTCCAGTGTTGCACATTGAGCCTAGAGATGGGGAACCACAGGACTCCCAACAGGACTCAAATCACTTTGCCCAGGTGTTAAACTATGTGACACCTTCCAGCTATGGCTCTATCTGCAGGGATGGGGAAGCAAAGCCACTGCAATCCAACCCAAGTGCAAATCGATTCTGCCCAGGGCAGGATTTATTCCCCACAACACCACAGTGCTCAAAGATGGACTATACATAATGAAGGTCACAGCAGCTGCTGCCATGCATGTGTGACTCCTCAGACATTCCAGGGGTGCCAAAACTCTATTTAAGATGTCTCAGTCACCTCACCAGGAAAGAACAAAGCACCAGGGCAATTTGTTCTTTCTAGTAAATAAAAAACCCACTTCTACTTTAAGGCAGAACCTATTTCAAGTCTGCTCCACTGTTAGGCCAGGCCCTATCCTTAATAAAAGCTAAAGAATTTGTGGAAATTGAACATAAGCAACACAGCAGGATGCATTTCTGGCTGATATCTGGAACACAACCTGATAAAGCTGGGCACCTGGGAGCAGGACTGATTCATGTGGCTCAGTCTCCTGGCACCTCTGGGCCCAGCACTGAGAGTAAGCAAGACCTACAAGGTCAGAATGACACAGCAAAATTCAGTTTGCTTCCTATCATCAATTCCTCATTTAATGAACAAACCCTTTGAAATATAAACCATTGAAGCTGTTGTATTTTTACCTTTGGTTTGGATCAATCTTGTCACTATGACTGATAAGAAATAATTAACTGAATAACAGAAAATAATCTACTATTCTCCATTTTCTTAAAATATAACCTGAAAAAACTGAGAATTGGGACAAAAGTTGGTTTTACCAAAAGTACTGAGGCAAAAGTGCTAAGAAATTGATGCCACATGTCCATTTTTTGTCTTTTTTTCTCTTTAATTTAATGACATCTATACTATTACCTTTTCTTTCATTTCATACACTATTAAACAAGTACAGGGATCAGAGGTCATCAAGTACTCCAAAACACTTGTGATATCACAACTAGACCCACAAGCACATGAAATAAAGAAGAGAAAGTTGAACATCCAGTATGTACTACATTTCCATTGCAATATGATTCCATTCCTTGGTTTTTGATGAACTAATTAAATTTAAAAAAAATAAATAACCAAAACCAACCCAGATTTGGATTTTCAAATAGATTTAATTAATAACAACCCATTCAGCTGCTTATTTGTATGCAAGAACCCTGGAGTGATGTCAAAGGAGTCCCTGATGGTGGATCACAAGTAGCATAGACAGGGAACAAAAGTCATCTCAAAGCATTTGATAAAACTTTAGGTGGGTGATATCTTCCCCCTCAAAATGTAGACATGAATATAGTACAGTATGCTGAGATTGGAAACAGAGAAGAAATTTACAATAGAAAATCAAATATTTTCCTCTTCTTTGAAAACTAATAGAACTAGAGCTATTTAGAGAACATTGCTCAGAACTTATTGTTGAATATTATTACAAAGGGATATAATAAACAAAAGCAAATGTCACAGCTTTTTGTGCCAGTGCTTATATAAATAATAAACTTTGACAGTTCTTTGAGGAGAGAGCAAATACAACCTTCATTAAAAAGGACATAGAAAGTTAGAAAAAAACACTAATGTGAACAGGAGGATAAGGTACCAAGGGAACAGCCAAATAAAAAAAAATCATCAGAAATTCTGCTGAAGGTTTTATTTTTGTCTACCTTAAAAACAAATTCATTAACACTTGGATAAAGATGGTATCTTTGGGAAGAGTGAACACAGCTGGAAACCCTCCAGCTCGGGGCAGACCTGGCATGTGTGGTGGGGGGGAAACACTGAGGTAGAATCGTTGATGATACTGAATTATTTTTAAGCATCAATAAAAGGAGCAAAAAGTAGCAGAAAAACCTCACATACTGGGTGTGTCTAGGCAATAAAAAGGCAGATAAAATTCCTCACATATTAATATAAAGCAACACATATTAGGAAAAAACCCAAAGCAATCTTGCACAAGGAGTGCTGGACTTGAAGCTTGATATTAGCATTCAGGAATGAGATTTTAGTTTCTAATACTCAGTTCTACCAAAAGGTCAGGTCAATCACCAACAGTAATTAAAGTGAGTGTCAGGAATTATTAGTGAAGGATCAAGGAAGTGAACAGAATATATGCAACTACATGGACTAGTACTGCTTCTTTATCCTGAATATCAGGTACTGCCCTGGTCTCACTAGCACAAAAACGGGTCTGCAAAACGATCCTTACATGAAAGGGTCTCTGTACAAGGAACAACAAAGTAGACTAAGACACTTCAGCTTGCAAAAAGTAGGACTTATATAGGAAGGAATATCTTGGAGGTATAGAAAACTGAGTGTCATGGCCACTGCTTATGGCCTGGATCCCACAGAGCACTGAGGAACATCTAATTGAGTAAATTAGCAGAAAGGAAGCTCCTTTGCACAGACCTTCGCACAATCCACAGTCCTCCTTACTCAAGGAGGCTGTGGATAGCAAAAAGTTGAAAGCATTTTAAAAAAATGGAACCAGGAATGAACAAATGCAAAATGTGTTAAGGATTTCTAAATACAAAGATCTCAGTATCTGACTCAGGCTTCAGCTCAGGTGAACTCCTGCATGCCCACCTCCCACAGCATCCCCCCCTCAAAGAGTCTGTGTAGGTCACTTTGTAGATGGGCAACTTGATATTGGCTGATTTATCCAACCACCCTCACTCTGATTGAGAAATCCAGGGTTTTTTCAAATTATTCTAGAAATTTACAAGATTTGAACCTGTCTTCTCTTCAAGTGGGGTGGCCACCTCTCAGGGAGAGCTCAAAGAAACCCTGAAAGGCTGGATCCTGCAACCACAGCTTCCAAGAGTCAGCACAGAAGGGAGTTTTCTATGAATGGACAGATTTCCTGCATCCCTCAGCTGAAAAACACCTGCCTCTGGTATGTGTGTCCCCTACTGGAACTGAATATGTGGGGACATGTTAGTGGTGGACAGGGCAGTGCTGGGCTAATGGCTCAATTCGTTGTTCTTGGGGGTCTTTTACAACCTTAATGATTCTATGATTTAATCTGCTGGCAAAAGATGTAAGTAAAAATTCTCTTATAAAGAAAGATGGATGATGAAAAGACAATTTTTAGCAGTACAAACAACATCTCAAAATAATTTTGACAATGCAGGTGCCCCAGCAGACATAAAATTTGCTTTATTAGAGGAAGAAAACCTATTTTTACAGTACTTTTTCAGCTAAACGGGCAGAACAGTGGGGCAAGACAGCTATTTCTGTTCTAGTTCATCCCCGTGGTGGAAATAAATCACAGAGAAGTGTGTGTGGTACAAGAAAGAACACAGAGACAGGTATTTCTGCTGTGCTTGTTCTAGGGAAGAATACACTGAAAAATATGAGAATCCAAGAGCACATGGGCAGCTACACAAATGTCCCAGCTGAATCAGAGGTCAGAAAATCAGCTTTCAGACTGAACCAGTCAAAGAAAACACATCAACACAGCTCTCTGCCCAACCTCCTAAAGAACCTTCCTGTACATTTTTGAGATGTGTATTTTTGTGTAAATTCAACAGCTGAGAACATTTCCAAACTCTGCTGCACAGCAAGTCCTGGCTCAACTGTTTAAACAGATGGCTCTATTTCATGGGGAATAGATAATAGCACCATTGCAGAAAGATGATTTTCAAGAAGACAAGGTACTGTTATGTGCTGTGAAAAGGATAACGAAAACGCTTCTCACCCTACCTCAAACCTGCTGTCTTGAAGGACTGATAAAAATTCCCCAAAACCAGGCAGAAACACTCCATACATCAGCTACTATGCTCACAAAACTATTACATATTTGTTCCAGAGTGCTTAAACTGTTACTTACTTGCTAATATAAGGACAAATATGTTATTTAATATTTTTATACATCCAAGTTCAGGGAATCCTTATTACCTTTCTTACCTAAAGATATACTTATTGTTCACAACGCTTTTTTCCCCACTAGCTCCCTAAATATTTTTTAAAAAATTCATGCCAAACTTTAAACATGCTTTAAAATGATGAACTGTTTCTTTCCCCCCTGGAAAATAAACATGCCAAAAGCTAACCTCTACAGAACAAAGCAATACACACTGTGAGAGGGAGGATGAGATTTCTGTTTTAAAGCCTTGAGAGCATTACTGTAACAAGCCATTTTAGAATTTAAGACAGGTGAGGTGTTACCTCTGTCTATTTTGAGTTGATTATTGACCTAGAAATTGTGAACCAAGTGTCTCTATCTTGGCATACTGATAGATGAAAGGACCACTCAACAAAAATCTGAAATGCAAGAGAAGTGACAATGAGTGCCAACACAGAATTCCACAGGTAGGAGGAGGTTTCCCTAAGCCTTCAACTCTTCACATCTTCCTAGGGCATGCTCCAGACAGGAATGGCGTGAAAACTCATCCAAAGTTTCATCCCCCAAATCTTTCCAACTTTTAAAGGTCCTTGCTATGGTATTTCTGACTGAGTATCTGTATTAAGTTTTGACCACAACTTCTCTATTGTAAGCAGCAAGCAGTTTACTCACAGCACACAGTTTGCAAGGTTTTGAGAACTACAAAATCACAATGCTACTGCGACAGACTTAGTTACCGGCGCGGCCTTCTCCATTAGATACTTGCCACTAAGTAAAGGTCTGTTGAGTGTATAAAGAGGTGGTAGATCTTCTATCTCTGCTATCCTCTGGTATACGGCTCTGGATAGATGATCCCCATGATATAAACTCCCCAAGATGATGCTAGAGAAGTAAATTGGCTCCACAAAGAGGCTAAGTAAGGCTCCTTGAATACCCAATACGTTCCACCTAAGAGGGAGGGAAAAACAAAACAAAACAAAAAACAAAAAAAACACTTTCTTTTTAATGGAACAAGTAACATCTGCCAGACATAACAGCAGTTAATCACAATGGACCAGACTTTCAAACCTTCTCCTGACCAGTACATGATCATGGTAGCATAAGCTGTGACACCTGCCAGAATTTCAGAGATCAGCTTAGGGGATACTCAGTGTAATCCTGAGTAAAATGACCTAAAACAGGAACAGACTCTGTAACTTGTACCCCTGCTAACATGCCTGGTGATGCACTTTCCAGCACTCATAATGCCAGAGATGGACAGAATCATTCAATGGGAGAAAGCCAAACTGTGAGATTCTCCACCAGAAACAGCAGCTGATGCCTGCAGAAGACACCTGGCAGGGAGAAGAGCATCCTTCTTAGAGAACAAGAAGGATTGTCTCTGCAAGACCTCCATACCTCACCAGCACAAGGAAAGGCCTGTCCTTCAAACCCTAGCCCAACTGCCCACATCCTGCTGACAGAAAGGGCACGTGCACTGGCTTGCCATGTCCATGGGCAGGGACAAAACTGAATATGAAAACTGAAAGCATGCAAAGAATGCATACAGTCTTTGCTCCCTTTAGCTGCTTCACAGATTCCGAACATAAACGCCCTGTCTGAGCACTGTGATTTACACTGGATCAGGTGTGGTGTCAGGGATATAGAATGCCTAGGAACAAAATCCTCATTTTGATTCTTTTTTTAAAAATTGTGTTCATTTGATAAAGTTTGGCTCTCAATGTCTCTGTAACTGTCACACAAAATATTTTTGAAAACCTCAGTGTCTCCTGCAGAGTATTTTCACTGCCTTGGTCTGAGGAATACTGAGGCACCATGAAAACAGCGTATTTTAGTCTTGGAATCCCAGAATGGTTTGGCTTGGAAGGAACCTTAAACATAATCTAGTTGCAAACCCTACCAAGGGCAGGGACACCTTCCACTATCCCAGGTTGCTTCAATCCCTGTTTAACCTGGTGTTGGAGCCCAACTGCAACAGCCGGACAGAAGCAGCAGCAAGTTTCCTTTGGTGTTTGGATAAAACAGAGGAGCACACCAGAAGCTCTCGTGCTCCCATAGAATGGATGTCCTTAATAAAAAGCTCATGCTATACCAGTTGCAAGGTTCTTCTAGGAAAACAGGGAATTCAGATGCTGTTAACAGTGTTTCTTGCAGCTTGTGCTGGGCTGGTTACACATCAGCATCCTTTCAGACTAGAAACTCCACACCACAACTGTTTCACTACTGCAATAACTGATCTACACAGGCTGGCTTCAGGACTTGCAACATGTTTTGTTTTAAAACAAAGATTATAATCCAAAGAAACTACTTCTTTACATATCTTTACTGATGATGAAAATGGAGGCAATATTCATTCACTTACTCACCTGTCATAAAAAAGCTGGCCCTAATAAGTGAGTAAAAATACTGTGCTAATATATGAGGTGTATTTTACATGGAACAAAGGCATATTTTTAATAAGACTGAAAACACAATCAGCAACTAAGTGTCAGAGTAAAGATATCAAGTGAAAATTGTTGGTTCCCAGGACCAATATGCCTTTTTGACTGCTACAGACACAGGTAATACTATGGAAGTAACATCTAGAAAGAATTCAAGACTGAGCATTGCAAACTGAGGTTTGCAGACAAGGCACGTCACATTTTACGTAACATGATCAGTGCTTAAGTGATGATAGACATTTTAAAATAGGCCAAAGCACTCCTCTGGCAAGCCCTTACTTCCTAAATAAACCCTCTGCCAGACCCTTTTCCTTACTTCTGACTTCAGTATTTCCAGAGCTCATTGTTTTGCTGCTTCCTCCCACACTCAGTGACCTTTTCTGGCACAGAAAATGAAAGCTGGCATTTGTCTTGTGAACTTCTGATTAGAAGAAGAGGAGAAGGAGTGAGGACAGCTGAGCAAGCCTCTGCAAAGAGGATTGTATGAACTGATATTAATGGGCACAGGCCTTGTTTTGCTGGGTTGTGCTGAATCTCTTTTGCCACTGCAGCACACTCTCATGCTGGGCTCAGAGCAATGGGCCTATGAAAGGACAGAAACCACTCATACAACCAAAACCCTTAATATTGATTAGCCAGGTTGGGTGGTGGTTAGGTCTATAAAACTAGCTTTAAATTGCATCATCATAATAAAAGAACATATACTCCTCTACAGAAATGTATTCTTATACCAGAAGCTTACGTAAAGTTATAGAAGGTTATAGTGAAGAGAGATAAACATGAAACCCAAAAGAATCCCAAAATCACTAAGGCTGGAGGAGCCCTCTAAAATCAAGTCCAACCACTAACCTTGTTCAGCACCATCCTGCTCATCACTGATCCCAGGTGCCACAATCCACACACCTTTTGGACACTTCCAGGGACACTCCACCACTTCCCTGGGCAGCCTGTTCCAGTGCCTGTTCCAGGGCCAAATTTTTCCCCAATATCCAACCTGAACCTCACCTGGCACAGCATTTCCTCTGGTCCTGTCCCTTGACAGCTGGGAGAAGAGATCAACCCTTGGCTAACTCTGCCCTCCCATCAGGGAGTTGTGGAGAGCAAGAAGGTCACCCCTGAGCCTCCTTTCCTTCAGGCTGAGCCCCCCCAGATTGCTCAGCCTCTCCCTATCAGATTTATGGTCATGTTCTGCAGATCATAGCAGAGTGAAAGAAAGGACTGCATAGAGACTTGCTTCTTGTTCCTTTTTGATACTATAATTCTGTCAAATAGGAATATCTCACTTCTATTAGCACATATGCTCAAACAACTTTTATGAATATAAACTGAGAAGAAACCACCACCACAAATCAGTTTACAAAAGGCCACCAGGCATCACCTCCAGAAGTGGTAAAACTGCCTTGTCCTCCAGTTTACAAACACAGATTGTCAGAACTCACACCAACAACTGCTGCCAATATAGCATTAACCTTTTCTGAAGGCAATATTTCTTTTTGAAATTAAGGGGCCAAATGCTGTAGTTCACTGCAGTGCAGAGCAGAAAAAGCAAAATGCACTACAGAAAACTTCAAGTCAGTGTTGTCTCTCCAGTGGAGCAATTAAACAATGGATTTTTTTTTTCTTCACATTAAAAATACTATCAGAAAAGAGTTAGGTGAAGTGACTTAAAAGTAGCTTACAAACCCAAACCTGGGTGCTAAAGAACAAGCATGAGCAGAACACAGGAATGCTGCTTCACATCAACAGATACTGAAATGCCTAAAGTAAGGCATGTAAAGCAGAGAGTTGCAGATGGAAAAGAACAACCAGGGAAGCAGGCAGGAAAACTCTTCCAATATAAACCTTCTCACTGGAAACACCTAAGATGCTTGTCTAAGGTAAGCAAAAAAATTGCCTCATGATGCTATTTAACATATTCTGAGTGTTCTGGTTTTAAGTTACTGCAAGAATTTTTTCTGACAACCTTCAAAAACAACCTTAAAGTAAAACTGATACGTAAAATGCAAGCTCTTAGATTGGTATAAATAGCCACAAGATTTATGTTCAAACTGCTAATGCACAGGTGCCCTGTGATTTGAGCTGGGGTACAGCTAACGTTGATTCCTTCACTGTTGGAGTAGAAGGACAGTGTTGGGAAATGCTCCTTCTAACCAGTACATCACAACACCTTTACAGGCTCAACCCCAACCTTGGCCTTTGCAGGTCAATGCACGTGAGTTGTGTTCAACTCCTGTCAATTTACACAGAGGACACTCTCTGTGTACTGTGCTCACCTGATGTCTTATAGATGAGCACCTCAGTGGGAAATCTGAATTTTATACATTTATCATACTCACTGGTTTTCTTATTCTAGATGCACTACTGTAGATCTTGTTCATAACAGTCTGGAGGATGGATGCACTTCCTCGACCTTTCTGCTGTTCTCAAGCACACTGCACTAAAAAAAGAGGGTGGAGAAACCAGAGACTGACACCAAATCAAGAGGAGTCCTCTCCTCCTTGCTGTGTTGTCACATTTCTGCTTTGGACCACCATCTGCTCAGGGGCATCTACAGTGGATTCTGGGTTCCTAAAAGGTCTGTGGATTTCTTCATGAAATGCAGCTGATTTCCCAGCTCTTGACACGTAAGGTAAGCAAAATTTAACTCTCAGCAACACTTTCACAGTGTACTGGTAGTACCTCTTGCGAAAAATAAAACGTGTTAAAAATACATGTACCAGGTAAAAACTTTCCTCTGAACCTTCCAAACTCAAAAGGTACAGAAATTCTGTTATTCACATTATTTTAGAAAAAATGCAGAATTGAAGGGGGGCTAGCAGCAGTAAATCAATCATAAACCTGATGTTGATATCAAACATCTTAGTTTCTAAATTTTATACAGAGAGCAGGATGGGACAGGGGAGTCTCTATTTGTGACCCACAATGGTGCCTACATTGAACTGTGTCAAAATTCATCTCAGGAAAACAAGAGACTCCTGAAACTACCCAAACAAGGCAAAACCTGACAAGTGTTTACAGTTCAGAGAGCTTCTCATATCTATATTGTTTATAAACAACAATTACTATGAAGAAATGACAATTATTTAGTTGGCACTTTGTTTATCACAGGTTTTTACTTGCAAATGATGGCAAGCAAGAGAAGGTGTCACTATGGAAGATGTAGGACTATCCCAGAAAGCACTTTTCCTTCTGGCATGCAGAAGGCACAACTTTAAACCTGATTTCTCTGTTTCCTGAAGAGATTAATTCTCTGTGACCACTCCTCTTTAAGAGCCATAGCTGTAAACAGGCAGCAATATCTTTACAAGGAGTGAGAGCTTCTTTTAAATCAAGTGGCTGGCTCAGCAGCCCACACTAGAAATCCTAAGTGCAGGAAGTCTCTGGTCTTCAACAGTAGCTCTTCTCAAAAATACTGTTTTAAATTTGCAGTTACAGACATGAAAAAGTTTTCCCCATGTAGCTGCACTGAGGCAGGCAACCACACAGCTCTAACTTGTCCCAGCTTTTCTGGCATTCCCTGGATTTGCTGCCTGTATGTTGTTGAAGACAGCAAGGTTATAGTTTATGACTTAAACATCTCCATGAAGGACCTTTGCCTATTATACAGCAAAAATACAGCAAAACTGTATTAGAAAAGCTGCAGAGAACACCACTATGCCCTAAAGAGGCCTGACTACACTGCTTGCTGAGTGGTCACTTGGATGAACCATTCACATCAGCTACTGTCACTGGGTTAAGAACTGGTAAGGAGAAATGCTCACTTTTGGGGACAAGAAGAGGAAGATCGAGTTACAAATGTCTGTTTGGATTTCCCACTCTGAATGAACACGAAACAAAGCCAGTGGATGGGCATGTGATGTTCTTTCACACAAGAGATTATCAGAAAAATATTTTCTCTTCTTTGAAGTAGAAGAGCGCCAATGACTTCCCTTTTAATAACTCAACCTAGAAAGTTTTTCTGAGTTCCTAGAGCTTTTGTAAGAAACTATGTGAAAAGGAATTTTGCACTTCTCAGCAGGACATTTGCCATTAACTGGAATGTTTAATGAGAAGTAATTATTTGAAACAAAAAAAAGGGGTAGAAAAACACACCAAAAGAAAAATGACAAATCAACATTGTGAAGTACCATGGCACCAGGCCAGGATACATTTAAAACAAAGGCATGTATACTAATGTTAACTCTGCTGAGAAACCACCCTAACACCTTACTGCAGAGCCACTAAGCTCTAACACACCAGGACAATCCTGTTTTAATGCTTCCAGCCCAAGTGGGATTACACTCGTGGCCCTCCCACATTTCTCACAACTTTTCTTGGATGTTCCTACCAGGTCTAAGAGGGTGCTGGGCAGCACACTGCAACAAAGCACTCAAAGGCTAGAAACAGCAACTTGGATTATATAGATAATCCACACAGACAAGGCAGTTCAGATATAAGCAGTTTGATACAACTACAGCCCCACACCCCAGATTCATCCACATCTTTCCCAGGCTGTGACTGTGAACCTTTGGGAAAGCTCAGTCGAAATTCCTGGGTCTGAGGCATACTGGAGGACTGATTGCTGGACACTCTGGAGCAAGGCACTCTTGTAAATGTAAATGTTCAAAATACATCAGGGCAATGTAAAAAAAAAAAAAAAATAATAGGAAAGATGAAAATTTGGGCCTCCTTACCCGTCATACAGTCTTTGTTCTGTGTCAAGGGGTTCTATTTGCCTCCATCACTGGCACAAACAAAATTATTCCCATTAGCCCCAAGGAGAGGTGACAGCTAGCTATAGAAGCGAGAGATGGATTCTGTTCTGCATCACACAAAACCAACAAAAGAGTCAAATGTGTTCTAGCTCAACAACTGGCTTTTTTTTGTATATATTTGCAATGACAATGTGATAAAAGAATGTGGCATGAATCCTAAGTCAGGTGGTTGGGAGAAGCCCCTGGCGTGAAACTGGGGAATTTATTTGGTGAATTTTACTGAAAATATTAAAAAAGAAGCTGAAATGTCATTTCTGTAGAAATACCTTTCCCCAGCTGCCTGTCCTAGCTTCTGAAAGGCCCAATGCATTTATGTTAGGGGTATTTAACCTAAAATAAAATGTTTTCCTTCAGCAGACATGCTGATTACTTGAGACAAGACTAAAGGAACAAAACCATTATATAACCTTCCTCCTCTATTTTTCATTTGGCATATGCAGTTCACAAGAATAGTTCCAACTTAATATCTTTAATAAACTTTGAATCAGGCTAACATTGACTTGAGAAAACAGCAGAGCTCTTTTAATTATAACATAGATAACATACATATAATTAAAAATAACTGAAGTATCATTAGCTGAAAAACTTGGCATTTCTCATCTACTTTGCAAGTCCACAAAGGCTGCAAACACACAGACTCATTAAAAAAAAATTATGAAGTTGCAACTCTCCCATACTTCCAATGCTTGTTAAAGAATACTACTGATGAATTTTTTCTGTCCATTTTTGATTTTGAAAACAACAAAAATATTTTGATCTTTGTCAAAAAGAACAACAAAAAAGAAATTTGATGAAATACAAATTAAAATATTGTTCTGGAAACAAAATATTTAATTTCAACAATAAATTAAAGCTGTAATTAAAATTCTAGAGTAAAACTAGAAGTGCCCATCAATTAGGAATTTTTAACAGGCACACTTTTCACCATAAAAACTAATAAAAATCTAAACTATGTATGGAAAATGAAGGCATCTTTAATAACATGGAATGATTTGTGCTGGAGTAGATTCCAACCCCATGCCACGGGCAGGGACACTTGCAACTAGACCAGGTTGCTCCAAGCCCCATCCAACCTGACTTTGGACATTTCCAAAGATGGGGCAAGGACATATATAACCAGGAAATCAGAGGAAAATATCCAAATATAAATAATGCAATAGATTTATTGTATTGTTTTCCTAATACTACACTACTTTAGGGGAAAGAAATGTAAAACATTCCTCTGCTATTCGCCAGAGACAGAAATACAAATCAAAGCTGTCATGACTTGATGTGGCTGTAATGATACAGAATGACTACACCTTGACTGTGAAGCCAGCAAAAGGTCTGACACCAACTGCAGGTGAAGAATCAGAGATTTATCACAGGGGTGACAGCCACCCTCACACTATGTCTAAGCAGTGAGATAAGCCCATCAATTCCACGCTCATTCATTGCAGGTACCATACACTCCTCCTCTCTTGTAGGACTCACAGGATGGTTTTGGATTGAAAGACCTCTAAAGATAATCTTATTCCACCCCTCTGCCATGGGCAGGGACACCTTCCACTATCCCAGATTGCTCCAAGCCTCATCCAGCCTTGGCCTTGAACACTTCCAGGGATGGGGCAGCCACAGCTTCTCTGGGCAACCTGTGCCAGGGACTCACCACTCTCACAGGGAAGAATTTATTTCCAATATCCCCTCTAACCCAGCTCTTCTTCAGCTTAAGGCCATTCCCCCTTGTCCTATGCCTTCCTTCAGCAGTTAACATCAACAGCAACAAAACCAATCATTCAGTGTCTCACCTGGCTATCTTGTCACTGCAAGACATGGTCAGCAGCCTCTCTCCTTGCAATACCCCATCCCACGTCTGGATAGTGGTAGTGGAGCGCACAGGGATGGTCCCTTCCCCAGACTCGATTTTTGTCCGTAGCTGTCCTCTGGCTTTGCGGTTGGGATGTCTGTCCCCTTGGTCTGAAGGACAAAAACCACTGAGAATCAGCTGAGGAACATTCTCAATGTTTTTACATTAGAATCACAATATGAAAGACTGGTTTGAGGTATTTGCCTGTAGTTACTGTTGGCTTGCATCACAGTTCCTACTGCTCTTGGCGATTTAGCTATAGCATCAGACACCTCTCACAAATACTGCCTTCCAAAACACACTTGCAGTTAAACCAAACTTTCACCTAAGGAGCAGTAGGAAGCAGGCAACTCTTGAGCTCAGCTCTGTGTGTTACAGAGTTAAAATGAAGTTAATGGACAGACTGTGGAGGGGGCAGATAGAGAGCTGCTGTTAAAAGATGGAAACAGGGAAAGGGGATGGTTAGTTCTGTAGGAATACTTGCTGACTCACTGGCTTATCTCAGTTAGCATCAGCCTCTTCAAGACCACAGGGCTCATCACTCTATACTGAGCTTCTACCACAGAGGAAGTACAGCTCAGATTTTTTTGGAAGAGAACTTAGAACACACTTCTATGCTAAAAGGAAAGAAGACACCTAAATTTTAACCATACCACTTGTACATGCCCCAAGAATAATTTAAGCTCCCTTGGGTGGTAGAGGACTGCTGTCATACCCTCTTGTGCTGCTTCATGGGGTGAGAAAATCCGAGCATCACCACAAGGAGATGTGCTGATATAGAGATGGAACTGCACATTCTCCTTCAGCTTAAACCCGCCTTGCTCTGATTTGATGAAAATGGATTTTTGCTGATCTTCTTTATTGCTGAAACAGAGAAGAAAGCTGGAGTAAAAACTGATATTAACATGGAAATAGGCGTAAACTGGGCAGACGTAATAGGCATTTAAAAAACACAGGATGGCTGAAAATTCTATAATATAAATCTAACAGTTATGACAATTAACAAAACTAAAGGATCATTGAGACAAATTGAAACAAAGAGATGTGGTAATATCAGGTGTCAAGAGCTTTCAGGAACTTAAATAAAATATCAGCAACCTTTACCCCACTTCATATTATTTTCATTTATACATTTACAGTTTAAAAAATTATTGCCAGTTACTTTCCCCATCCTCCCCTCTCATGACTGACACCTCACTGAATAAATGTTTTGTTCAACTCAAACTTGAAGGCAAAGGGCACGAGTTCTAAATTCAGCATCCTAATGCAACAGGACAAGTGCTTTACACTGAAATAATGAAGACAGATGTTTTCTACAGACACCTTTTCAGCTCTGTAGGATCAGCCCATCACCTTTTTCCCTCCAGCTTACCTTAGGTAAAGCTCAAGCTGCGTGTACAGAAATTTCAGCAGACACCGTCGAGCTATAATTTCTGCGTGGCAATCATTTAGTGCAAGACCACGATCACTCATGTATTCACCATTGATGCATTTTGTTCCTGTAGAAACACTTATTACCAGGGCATCTTTCACATCTGTACCTGCCAAACAAAATTTCAGCAAGGACATGCAATTAACATCACAGATAATGCACTGAGTGATCTTCTTGCAGAACCGAAACAAGACTCTTTTTTTTTTGGTTGTTTGCTTCTAAAATAAGCAAGAAGAAATGTTTTTTCTTCTGATAATTTATTTAAAACAAAAGCTTCACTCAGCCATACCTCCCTGCACCAGCACCGTCAGTGGTTCTTATGAGAACTACTCTCATGTTGGAGTTCAGACAAGTTAAAAATTGGAAACCTGCAGGTAAAAAGTGCTGCTTCAAAAGGAATTATTAAAGCCCAAGATCCAAAGTGCTTTTTTTTCCTGAGATTCAGGCAGTCAGCAACTTTCAGCTGTAGCTTCTGGCCACCTGTGCAGATATTCACTTTAGAAATCCGAAAGGCATTGGTTTATTAAAGCAGCAACATGTTATGGAAGGGTATTGAGCCAACAACAGGAAAGGGAAAACTAGGAAAAAAAGAAATGTAAATGTTAAATCATTGGAAAGATTACCAGTATAACGTGTAGCTCTTCTATCCCATGCAACAGAAATCAAAAAGTATGTTGGGTGGGTGTTTTCTGTATAGAAAACTGCCTTTATCACTCAAAGAATCCACCTTACTGAAGGACTAAGAAAGACAGGTCAAAATGCCACTTAGCAAAACACTCAGGGGTAATAAGAGCCCAAGAAGTTAAAATGAACCTGAGCCCAGCTTAGCCCTCCTGCCCACAGGGCTAGAGGAGAAGCACCAAGCTGTAACACAAGGCTTGCAATGGGGTCATTTAATTCCAAATGTTCCCCAGACATGTATTCATTAAAAGATATTTTCTTATTCTGTGTAAAGATGTTTCTTCAGTTAATCAAAAGGTATTCACATGCTAGTTAAGTCTTAATTCTTTGGCACAGGCCTCTTCTGGGAATTCCACATACAGAGCTGTAACTAGCATAAAAACCCATTAAATATCAGAAAACAAAATAAACAAAACTACAGCATGTTCCTCATGTATTTGAGGCTAACATAGTGTTATTACCAGATGGAGGTCTGGTTGTTGCTCAGCAGAGCTTGAGAAGCATCAAGGCTTCTTAAATCTCCCAATAGCCTGTGTGAGTGGGAGGGCAAGAGACCGGGGAGGACACAGCCGGGACAGCCTCAAAATGAATATTCCACCAAGGGTTCACATGGATTGCAGACCAAGATCAACCTTAATGTGAGGAAAACTCAGCAACAGCATGGTCATGGATTAATTTAGGGCAGAACTTCACTGTTTTGGGAGATTTGGACAAGCAGAGATCTCGTGTCAGCACCCAGGGAGCCATGACACCACTGCTGACACGCGAACACCACTGCCATCTGCCAAAACATAAACTGCTTTCTTCAGAATATTTTTACTAAAATGACTGACATAGAGCACTAAGAATAAAATGTAGCAAGAATAACAAAGTGCAAAATCTTAAAACCTTGGAGAGTTATTCTTATATAACATGCCCAAACCAGGAATACTGATGGGAAAAAAAAATAAAATCCCCCCCAAAGTTTCATGATTAACTTTAAAACCTACATTTTGTGAGCTACTCGGATGTCTCAGGCAGAGGACTGGAACTCTGTGGAAAAAGAAGTATTTGCAGGTCTAATTTTCCTATAAGTACCCAAGATTTAATTACTATATTTAGTCCACCTTCAAGATTAAACAGTAAAAATACATTTCAATTTGGTTGAATGAAAAAAGTTAGTTTACTAGATGTAAAGAGAGCTCTCATATTTAGGCATTCAAAATGCTACTTTTTTTTAAATGTACCTGTTGTCATGACAATTCCAGCAAGGACTTTTCGACGTGCATGTGGAGATGAGAAATTTTCTGTCAAATCACTGAATTTATCTACAACCAAGCGTGCAACAGCATCAGCTAACACCTGTAGGACCACACAGAAACACACATGAAAAAATAAAATAATAACTGAAAAATTACAGGAGCATGAAGTTATAAAGATTTACACTTTTAAATAATTGGACAAAGCAAATGAAGTGAGTTTTTATTGTTCACTTTAAAAATTGACATTGAGGCATCCCTTGCAAGTAGAAGCAGAGGTATGAATGCTCCATGTCTACCAAAACAAGGTCAAACAGCACTAAGCCAAGCACTGAAGAACCTAATGCCCATGAGCCTGATGAACATTTGAGGCTTGGGAGAACAATTGCATAGACAGATAAGTCCATATTCTCATGCTCAAACCTCAAAACACATCATTTCAGTATCCTCAACATTGAGCCTGACAATAAGATGGAAGTAATAATTCATGCCACTCAAAAGAACCTTTTATAACAATCTAATTCCTTATCTATTATATAAATAAGGGCAATTTTGTTTTCAACCCTAGTTTAGCACTTCCTATATCCTATTTTTACAAGATCTATACAAAGTTAGGAATAGAAAACATCAGTGCATAAGCCCAAATAAGCTATCTCAAAATTAGGAAAGATTTCTGTCTTTCAGGAAAACTTGAACAGTCACTTCAAGTCAGTCTGTAAGTGGGGGTAACTTCTAAAATGAGGGAAAACTTCTAAATAGCAGTCCTGCTCCTGTAGACAGACAATTCAGTTCAGCACTGCAGCTAATCTCACCTGCTGTTTACAAGGCAGCTGGAGCTGTAACTGCTAGAAAAAATGAGTCTAGACCAAATTCTGAAAAGAAATTAAAGCCAAGGCAAGCATGCGTTAATAACCAACAGTATTTGAGATGTTCTAGGTGTGCACACCTGGCCCACAGCTTCACATGCCACACAGACTCAGGTATTGTGTCACACCCACCAGTGACATTCAGCTGTTGAGTGAGGCACTGGAACAGAGAAGCTGTGGCTGCCCCATTCCTGGAAATGTTCCAGGCCAGCTTGGACAGGGCTTGGAGCAACCTGGGACAGTGGAAAGTATCCCTGCCCATAGCAGGGGGTGGGACTGGATGAGCATTAAGGTCCCTTCCAACTCAAACCATTCTATGATAGAGATGTATTAGATGCCCAAGGGAAAAAGGGAAAACAACAAAATAAAATAAAGAAAAGGGGTTAAAGGCCACCAGCCCCATTCACCCCCATTTCCATAACAAGGCTCATGAAAACCAGCAGCCTAGAAATGATGTAGACATGCTCTCAATGTTAACTGCGTTTTGGAAAAGCTTTAGCAGGCAAGAAATAACTAAAGGTTGGATGTCATGATTACAGAGCTCAGCAGCTCTCACCAGAGCCTGACAGAACACAGTGACCAGCAGTCAGGTCCCAACTGCACCAGCTTCATCCACGTTTTGCAATCGCTCAACTTGTGGAATCAGAAGACTCTTGACATTGCAAACACAAATTTTCTTCAAACACTTGAAACTCCATCTATTTTTCAGGAAAGCAGTTTGGCTCAGAGGTCACGAACATGTCTGGTCAGGCACTGATTTTCAAACATGGTCTTTCTGTTGGTGGACCCAAAACTGAGTTACAGTCCATGTTCTGCCAGCATCACAACCACACAGCTCTAAATCTGCATTTAATTGTCCTAGTACTTACCTAATGCAGAAAGCTGAACTTTAAGGTGAATACACAAAATAAAAGGCAAATAATTGAGTGGTTTTTAATCACCCTGGTCTTAGAAATGGACAATTAAGACACAAGAGGCTTATATTATTAAGCTCCCTGCAGCCATGAGGGCAGATCACTGTACAGCCAAGGCACAGAATCCCCATTCCCATGTTTTATCCCTAGTCTCACTGCATAGTTATGGATACTTGCTTCCCAGCTGCAAGTTTTATGCCCTCATTTCTGTAATCCATGTATTTTCTGCTCTACTCTATACTGTGATGTGCTGGATAGCACACTGTAAAATCATGCTGAATGACATTGTGATAGAATATAGATACTATGAAACAAACTATTCCAGACAGGAAATGCTTCAGGTTACTTCCAACCCAAACTATGCTATGATTCTATGCTTAATAGAAGCTTTCAAACATGCTAGAAAAGGTATCCAGGGAATAAACAATGTTTTTTGACTTTTCTCAAAAAAAACAAAAAAAAAAAAAAAACAAAAAATAAAACAAGGTGGTGGGTGGTGACTGGTATCTGGAGGAGCTTTCCCCAGCACTGAGAACTGAACATGCCATGTGTTTCTGGGAAGAAATCCATGGCCACTTTCCCTGTTAATGCCACTGACAAAGGCTCCCTGAAAGGCTGCTGGGTAGTAAGCTTGCATACAGGCTGGATCCATTAGCTTTTTCCAGAAGAATCCTTTTTTTTTTTTTTCCCCACGTAACAAGCAAAGCAGAGGAAACTGTGGTGTTGGTATACAAAGGAGCATGCAGTGAGCTCCTCTAGGAAGATGTAAGTTGGCACAGCAGAACGGGATGGAGCTGCATCTCACAGAGCCTGGAACTAAGCTGTTGGCAAGGAAATTTGAAAATGCTTGGATGAACTTAGAGCCAGACACTGGGGAGGACTCATAAGAAAGACTTGGCAGAACTCAAGCGAGACAAAATGAACCTTGGAGATGCAAACAATCCAGGATGAACTGGAGAGGAGGAAAAAGAAAAATCACTGCCAGAAAACAGGCAGATACATTCAAGATTTGTTATTTCTATCTGATACAAAATTGTGTGACAACAGCTGGGCAGTGAGGAATAAACACTGGTAAATGCCTATAGATGCAGTCACTAAGATTTTGATCTTTGATAAGAATACTGCCCCAATAAATGAGAAGAATTATCCTCGCCTCCCAGGCAGTCTATATCTATTATATTGACATAGTTAAGGGCATGGAAGAGAAGGGAATAAGGCAGCACGAGGAACAAGACTTACTGGCCAGAAATTACATCCTGCTGGCCCATCTCAAAACCATGGACTTGAAGCTGTTTCCACAGGAACCCCAGGCCACTGACTGGCCTGAGTAGGGATCTTTCACATCACATTCTGACTCTACTGCCTTTTATATAAATAAACATTAATTGGGACAGAAATTGAACTTATGCCTCACCTTCTCTGTGAATGCTCTAAAATCTGACACAGTTTCTCTACCCCTGCATTAAATCATTATTCCAAGTTGAGTAATTCAAAAAAGGAAAGACCTAAAATATCTGACAGTTGGCTCAGTAAGGCATGTGAGCTCCAAGTTATTTTGGGTGCGTTGTTCCCTTCTCTGATGAAGTCACAGTGAACCCACTCCTTTTCTACACACACAGACTGGTTTTGGTTAAATACAAATGTTGCAGCAATGCTGTAGCAGAACCACCCTGATCATTCACACTTGAAAATATTCTGGAGCTGATGAAGGTCAGGTCAATCTGGAGCTGAAGGAAGACCTTGAATGACCATGGAGACCACCCAAGATGAATGCTGGTGATCCCCTGAACAGTGGGAAAGGCAGCAGCAATAGCTCACAGCTCTCAAAGGAACTAACCCAAGACATCTCAGTCCTTTGTGCTTTCCTTAGATCACCAGGGACCCTTCTCAAGCAGAAATGTTCTCCCTTGGTTTGTTTTGTTTTTTTTTTTTTCTTTAACTTCAGAGTTAATGGCTTAAGTGAACTTCCCTCTGCAAGTAAAATCAAGGTCAACCAGGTCCTCCCCTTTAACAGTGACCAGCACACACAATTCAGAGAAGTTTCCTTGTAATGATTTTAAAAAATTTCTGCCTGTTTGTAGAGTCTTTCACTACTTATGCTGATATATCTTGTAGATTTCTTCCAATTCCACAGCAATTATTCCGAGACATAATTAATGATATTTCCATAAATACATTCAATATTACCTTTTTCCCAGGTTTGAATCCATCGCATTCTTATTCTCCTGTATACATTAAGCAATCCATTGCTATAACTGCCTAGAACTCCTCTGTACCTCTCCAGATGTAGCTTTCCCAGATCTCCAATAATGTTCATAATTATTTGTGTAGCTTTCATATATTTGAATCATATTTTATACTTCCCCTTGTCCCAGGTTGAACCAGGACTAAAAAAAACCATATCAGGTACAAGTAGCCATTCAGTAGGGGTTCTCATCCCATTTCTCCTGCTTAAGGTTTTGTTTCAATGTCTGTCCACAACAACAGAAAGGATACATTGAATTAGGTGGATGATTAATAATACTCTCTCTAGTGATGTTTTTCAAACTTATCTCATTTGCAACTACACTGCTCATTTGTGTAGCTCAATTTGCTTCCTCTCACAAGAGTCAAGCTTTCTAATTTAAATAACTATATTTAAGCTTCAATGTGTACGATTTCAATTTCCAGCTCTCTGCACGCCTTGACTAATCAGCTATCATTTTAAGTAAACAGTTTGAGGAAATAGCATTAGGAAAACCTCCAATATCAGCTTTCTAACATAAGCCCTTTGTGGCCTGAAGAGGTGATACCTCCAACCAGCGGGATCCCACTGTCTGATGGAAAACCTTGCCTTGAGTGACACCAGCAGCCTGGACTGCTGAAAGTCTGAAGCATATACTGGGGAATTACTGCTGCTAGTATGTTCTTTTCTCAGTTTTATTCCAAAGCATTTGGTACTGGCCTGAGAACTTCTTTTAGGGACAGCACCATGCCATCTTTGACAGAGGTGTGAGACCCCTCCAGAGAAGGCCACCAAGATGTTCCAAGAGCTGGAGCCCCTCTGGAGACAGGCTGGGAGAGCTGGGTGTTCACCTGGAGGAGAGAAGGATCAAGGGAGACCTTAGAGGCCCTTCTAGTGCTTGAAGGGGCTCCAGGAGAGCTGGAGAGAACTTCAGACAAGGGCGTGGAGTGAAGGAGAAGTGGAAATGGCTTCCCATTGACAAAGGGCAGCATTAGATGGGATATTAGGAAGAAATTCTTCCCTGTGAAGGTGGTGAGGCCATGGCATTGAGAAGCTGTGGCTGCTCCATCCTTGTAAGCGTTCAGGGGCAGGTTGGACAGGGATTGGAGCAACCTGGAATAGCAGAAGGTGTCTGCACACATGGCAGGGGGTGGGAATAACAATCTTCAAGGTTTCTTCCAACCCAAACCATTTTGCCATTCTATGACTTTTTTGATCAGTTCACAAAACAGAGATAACCATAAAAATACTGTCTGTGTTTTGGAGAGGTAAGTCACTCTAATGCAAGTGTGACAATCTGTTCAATACCAACACACCCACTGCCAAGGTGTTAAATGCATAACTGCAGAGTTTTTCAGTGAGACATTTTTACCCACTCTGAGGTACATGTTGAGTGTGTACCTAACTACACATAAATTACTAGCAGTGAAATTTTTTTGGTGTCTGGGGTCAAATCTACTTTTAAAAGCAGCACAGAGATGTTCTTCACTGCAGGAAACCTTCCTTCATCTCTGACAACAGACCAAGCTCCGAGCAAGCAGACAAGCTTGAATTGAACCACAGGATCAGCACCTCAATGATCCCCTGTACAGACCACAAGATTATTCTCACACCCATTTCAGAACAATCAATTTTTGATTTTAGCAACCCTTCTGTACCATTTGATACTTTGCACATGTGTTTCTGCATTTAACTCTCTTTGGGGCACCTGCAGCTCTCGGGACATCTGCTGGGGTCACAGATAGACATCTAGCCACAGTCACCACCACCACCATCACAGGGAACATCTCTCCTCTCAGCTCCATTCTTCTCACCACAAATGAGCTACAGGCAGGTTTGGACCTGCCACCCAGGCAGTCAATTCCAACATCTTCATGGGCACAACCACGCTGTACTTCTTTTATTTCCCCTGAGCACTTGTTATTTGAATTTTTCCTCCCCTCACATATTTCTAGCTTTCATTTTTTCCAACACAATCAACATTTTTTTGTCCACTGATTGTATCAAAACCTAGCCCCATTTACATCATTCCTGCAGTCTCCAGTTTTTGTGATTTCACCCACTTTAGGATTATCTCTGAATTTAACACTTTTTTAAACAGTAAACAATGTCTAAAATAATTAAACAACTCACAGACTTCTAAAAAAAGATAAATCAAGCAGGACCTGAAAACACCACAAATGCTTAAAGCATTAAATGCATACCAGAACAAAACCACTAATATGTAAAAGACCTAATGTAATTCCAGTAACAGCTAATTATAATTCAAAGCAAAGCAACACAGTGAAGTGCTTGATGACATTCTGATGACAAGATGAAAAGCTCCTGAATAAAAAAATTACTTGAAATAGGGTCTAAATGAGGCAGCACCCATGTAACATCTTTCCCAGCTCAGCTTGGGTTTTTCACACTTCCCTCTTCCAGTTTTCACCACTTTACTGATGCAAGAACTAATTACACATGAATTACTAGCAGTGAAATTTTTTTGGTGTCTGGGGTCAAATCTACTTTTAAAAGCAGAGAATGCAGTGTGAAATCACTGAATCTATTGAAGAAATTGTAAGTACTTAAAACAGCATGATCCTGGATTTGAAAATGAAGGAAACATTCATCAGTAACACAACTGTGCAACATTAAAATGAAACCCTATAGGAAGGCCTAAAATATGTATAATATCCACCTATTTTGTGAAAACAATGTACTCAAAATAGTCACATTTACTTATACTCTTTGACCCCACATTATTATATCAGAACAGTATATTAGAATTTTAATGAAATCTACAACAGTTTTGAGATATAAAAGGTCAAAGCCTTGAAATTCTCATAATAAACAGAAAGTTGCAAAAGAATTCACAGACAAATATTTTAATTTAGATGGGCAAATAATATAATTAAAAAGACCCAACAGATGCAGTAGAAAGACAGCAGTCTAACAATTATTAGTGCAGTTTGACTGGGAAGAAACATAAACAAGAAAAGAGTGGAGAACTTTTATGCATTAAAAAAATTCAAAATTACTCCATTCTAGTGACTTCAAATTTCTGATCTGCGTCTGGTATGCTGGCTACCTTCCCTAGTTCATTGTATGATTTAAATTATTTCTCAACCAGATTTACTTGCCTAAGTAATTCCCATATGCATGTTAATTCATTTGCCTAGAGCACAACCCTTCAGATGACAGCCACTCAACCACACATCCTGGATACATGCACATGGAATGTGTCACACCCTGGAAACCAGGGGCAATTGCAGCAGTCTTACTTCATCTGACCTTGACTTGCAACAATTTCTGTTTGCAGGAGAGAATGATTTTCTTCTCTGCTAAAAACTGTTGTATCAAATAATAACTTCACTTAAAGCAGTAATTCTCTTTTGAACTCCATCTAAGTCTTGCTGCCTGAGATGAGCAAGATGTGATTCAATCTTTCCCTAGCACAAACCGTAATTCAAGCTGGCACTGGTGCTAACACAACATGAAAACAGCAGAAACAAAGCCTCTTCTCTGTGCAAGAAAATACGAATTGTCAGAAGCTGTAACTGTATAAATCACCTAATACAAATATACATACACACATATGTGTATATATAGAGAGACACACACATATCTAGAGAAGCAGAAATGCTGTTCAAACTGATTCAATACACCTGACTTGACTCCTCTTGGTCATTACCCAAAGCCATCCACAACACCCAAAGGGTTACTCACCTGTGGCAAGTGTAACTGGAGCCCCTCACTGGGAATGGGCTGGCGAGATGGAGTCTGGTCCAGCTGCATATTAAACAGGGATGCCAGGGCTGACTGAGCAGCCCGAGCTTTTGCCAGCTTTTTATTCCTTCCCGAACCTTCGAAAGTCTGACCGTCCACCGCCACAGCCATGACAAAGTTTTTGGCGTGGCTCTCTCCGCTCTCCGAGAGGAACTCGTACTTCAGCCCCGGGCGCAGCTCGTTGAGGATCATGACGGGGTTCTTCCCGCTGGCCATGGGGTAGGGTGAGGGTGGGGGGAGAGGCGACTGGGAAAGGCTGCTGGCTACGGCAGACGACGGCAAGCCGTAGTCCCCGCTGGAGCCGAAGGACCCATCCCCGTTGGAGCCCAGGTAAAAGGAAGCGTCAGAAGGGACTGGAGTCTCAAACCCATTGAAAAGGGTGTCGGGGAAGTCTGCTTGGTCGGATGTGAAGTCCGTGTTGACCGACAGAGTCCTGCCCATGGCCAGGTGGGCTTCTGAGGCATTTGGGAACTGGACAAAGGAGCGCAGAGCCTTTTCGGCAGCGTGAAGCTTGGCTTTCTTTTTTGTCGGGCCAGACCCCTCAAACACCTGCCCATTGACTTCCACTGCCATCACAAACATAGGGGCGTGGACCGGCCCTGTCTGGGAGAGGAGTTTGTATTGTAAACCAGGTTTAATCTCGTTAAGCTGCATCAGGGCGTTCTTTGGCAGAACAGGGCCGGGCGTTTTCTTCCTCTTCTTGGGGCGAAATCTGGAATGGCCATTGTTGCCCTCCTCCAAAGGTCTCTTCCTGCTGCTGCTGCCACCGCCGTTGGAGAGTGGGGTCCCCTCGCCAGGCGCCTGCCCGGCACTGTCCTTGGGGGGAACGTTGTCCACATTGCGGTTTTCTTTAATGTCGGTGCTGCTCGAACCTGCGGTGCCCAGAAAGAGTAACTTACAATGCCTTCGGTGCAGGATCTTGTAAATGCAAAATTTATAGATTCCTTTATCTCTCTTTGTAACTGGTTAAGTGATGTGTGCTCACAGGTTAAAAATTTTTGCAATACAACTGGAGATGATGATAATGTAACACAACCTCTCAGTAATTCAAAAAGTAACACACTCAATCTTCAAACTACACGCTTGATACAACTGCACAGCGAAAAGTCACTACAACTTTTTTTTTTCATTTTAATTACGCTGGAACAAACCTTTTCCTTATCAAGTTATATTTAGCCTCAAAAACACTTTAAATCAACAATATGAGCTACAATAACATATGCCCACAAAACAAACAACTACCATATGTAAAAATGGATGCTTAAGACCTCAACTCTGAGCCAGATATTTAATTCTAGTTTATTATCAGTTTAGTCATGTTATTTTTCTTCCCGCAGTGATTTTAGTTGCTTAAATTTAAAAACTACATTAAAAAAAACCTTCATTCAGAAAACAATGAAAACTAATGAAAAATTAGGCAGCTCTTTAGTAGGTACTATGGCTGAAGAGTGTTTGAATGTTCTTGTTTCTCTTTAGCTATTCTATATTTTTCAAATTCAGTGGGTTTTTATGCTTTTTCTAAACATTCATTTCACCTCATCCCAATTTTCTCAGGAACTTCAGCTGCCCCCTGTGCCAGCAGGACCACAAAACTATATATTTCCACACAGCCTCCTACCAAAAAAATCTCTTATCATTTACAAGCATAACTCCTTGTCAAGAAAACTGTTGTCATGGAGTTACAAACCCAAAAATCACTAGAGATCCTCTCTAAGGCTATACAGGACAAAAGTGTGACAAAAGTTGCACACTCACAGTGATAATATTTTAATGGGAGGGCAGGGAAGACAATATAATACTAATTTAATGATTTGTTTTCAAAAATATTAGTTGGGGTAATGATATGTCAGAGCTATATATAAGGAATTAAATTTGCTGTAAGTTCAAAGACCTCCTTTTCATCCTGATGAAGAAACTAAGGAAATTAACTATTTGTGCTTTCTACTGGCATTTGTGAATGAAAAGGCAAATGTTACAGAACAAGTATTTTTAACTCTCTTCTTACAAAACTTCAGTATATCTGTATTACTTGTACACTGATCCAAGGTAGTAAATGGTCACTGAAATTAGAGCAAACCAGGTGGAAACTCTCTTTCTAAATAAAGTGACAAATTCCAGCCACGCTTTCAGTCTTCCCTAAGAATCCCCTACCATGCACACATCACTTCACCCAGGTTACAAAGCTGATGGAATGGTTACTAAATTTTCATTTATAACATCCTCCAGCAAAAGCTCGATAGGTTACTCCTTTCGGTGCTCAAAGAGAAAAAAGGAAGGAAAAAAACAGATCAAAAGAAAACGCCAAAGTAGGAACACATTTCATTAAATCACAGCAGCACAACAAAGAATTGTACAGTACTGATCACGCAATTAAGTCAATTAAATTTGGTCAAGAATTCAAATTCTGAAGCATTTCATTGCTAGAAATCTGCTAGATTTAATCAAGGAGCTCTCGTTCAGCAACAAACATACTGCCTGGAGAATGAAGGCTATAGGGCCACAACTGTCAACACAGTGTTCATGTATATATATATTCCTTATAAAAATATATATCTATGGTGGAGGAATATTTTTAGATCTTTCCTTACAGTGAGTTTCTTACATCTTATCTAAAACACTGCCCTTACTGGTGGCACCAGGTACTTGTTATCAACCACCAAGACCTTCAGGCTAAACAGAAATAACTGTGTTAACACTAATTAATGGTCTCTGGTTTATTTCCTTTTTTATATGAAAACCAATACCAGAAACCACAGAAGGAAAATAGGAGTTGAACAGACTCCAGCTGAACATTACAAAGAAAAACTTTTGCATATAAGCGTGGCAGCTGGAGGAACTCCTTCGTCAGGTAGGAGAAACCATGTCCTGACAGGAAGGACTTGTAGGGAGCAAGAAATAAACTTGCAGGCTTACCTTGGCTCACTAAGAGAGAATGGAAGAAAACTACTCCTTGCCTGAGAGCTACTAGGCTTTGTTAGCCTTGGAGAATCTGCAGGGTGGAAGAAACTTGGAGAGGAAGAATGTAGGGAGCTGATCCTGAGTCAAACCGAGAGACCAGGAAAGGAGGCAACTGTGGAGTTGATCCAAATCCAAATTTGTGATGGAAAAGTGAAAGACTTTTCGTGCAAACCAAAAGGGCCTGTGCTTATTTCAACCCACAGGGTCGCTGGACTGCAAGGAGAGGTCCCTCCCTCTCAGACCGAGGGTGAAGGTACGTTTTTGGTTCTTTTTGTAAGCCTGTCTGACCCAGCAGTGCTGAGGCTCTCTAGTTACCCGAGGGCTTGGGAAGATTAGTCAAAACATAAGCTGTTCAAGTCAGAGATGTCACCTCCAATCTTGTCCATGTTCAGACATGGAGCCTGCAGCACAGCCTTTCCCTGGATGCCTTTTCCAGGCATGCCACCCTTCCAGGGAAGTCAGGAATGGCCCTCCTGCCTCTTCCTCACCTTGCCCACTTCCCCACATGTGACAGAGCCACCAACAGACCCCAGGAGAGGGTATCACACCAGCATAAGGACACAGTGACCCTCCCGAGGGCAGCCTGTCAGCTCTGCTTTCTCCCAGAGGTCAAGGCAAGGAGCCACATGTGCTTTTTTTTCCCCAAAAAAAGTTTCCTAATGGCTTCTAAAGACCCCATAAACCCATGGCATCCACAAAGTCCTGAGCAAGGTTCTTCAGCACTTCATTACAAATGGCATGAAAACATCTCCCATTGCTTTCTTTGATCCTCCACCTGGACAGTCCTATTGCATTTACTGGCATTTATTTGCTGTTTTTTAAAGTTTTATGATTCTAATATGTAACACTGGATGTCATGCATGATTTTACAGAAATCTAGTATTTCCAATCTTCAGTTTTTCAAGGAATGAATGCTTTAGAGAGCCCTTTGAAGTCCATCATATCTGCTGTGTATTTAAGGCTTTAAAGTAGCATTAACACAAAATAAACACTTGATGACTGAGATCCTGTTTTCTTAATCGTGTATACAACCCATGATTTAAAAACTGGATATTTTTCATGAGATTGGTATATTTTCTAGTCATTAAAAACAGCTGGCAGCTTCAACTAGGTATTTGAGTTATGTCTGTGAAGGCCACCAGAGTAAAAATCATAGCTGACACCAACAACTTCAGCAGAAAGACAGTCCTGCCCCCCAGATTTTGTCTGAGCACTTACAAACCCAAGAACACTCATAGCAGGGAACAGGTATGGGGAATTTTTTATGCCAGTAAAGAAATAAACCTTCCATCTGGACATGCTGGTTTATTTTTGGGTTTATTCCCTGTAATTAAAAAGCATCTGCCATTAAGATGCTTTATCCATTGGGGACCTTCCATTACCTGCTTGCTAAGAGACACTCCCCCTGCTCTGTCTGATCTGGAACACAATTCATTAAATTTAGATGACTCTTAGCTGAATCAAAAGATGGTTCTAGCTATCCCTTATACTGCTGCTCTCATTTAGTGGCCTGGGGAAGTTCTAAATAAGTAATTTTTTTCATTTAAAAACAAGCAGAAAAAACCACATGCTCTCTTCAGAGCATCTTTTAGAAAAAGGAGAAAACAGATCAAAGAGAAAGGTCAGGAGAGTCACACGCTTGTGTTCCAAGTGTTCAGAGTGCTGCAGACACACCAGCCATGCAAAACAACCAGAAACAAACATTCCAAATAACCATCTCTCTCCCCAGATATCTTGTAGCATCTCTATGACCAAAGAATAAAGAAGGACAACTCTAAAAAGTGAAGTCTGAAACACTGTTTTCTCAGGGATATTAATTTATTAATGTAAGACATCATCACTATCTTATATTTAATCTGAACCAAAAAAAATCATCTTAATTCTGGCTTCTGCAGAGGAATACTTGTTATGCAACCACAGGCTACCCCACAACAAAAACTTTCTGAATTTACCATCTCTTCAAATAACAGAAAGTTTTATTGTTTAATATCACTAATTTTTTTTATATTTATAAGTATTTTACTTATTAAACAAACAATTCTTTCCACTTTTCTCCAAAAAAATCTTTTCCCAAACTAGTTAAGGGAGGGGCCACTTAAATTTACTTTCTAGAAAAACCCCATTCAGAAATTTTCTCCCAAATTTACCATAAATCAAAATGAATGCAACTGCATAGCCCACCTTCCTTTCCTTTAAGAACCTTTCCCCAGAAGGAGTTACATAAAATAATAAAAAATTTAATAGGCAATTTTTAATATGCTACTTCACAATTATAAGAGATATAAAAGTAAAGAGAGAAAAAGTTAAAAAAAAAGTATGCCTGCACACATCAAAGTGAAGAATTTAAGAATTTAAACTTTGATTTCTGACACACATCCACCCCACCCCCCAAAATCAGATGATTTAACATTTCAAATTCATGATGTTTGTGTGGGCACATAAAGGAAGGTCATTTTGTACTTTATATGAACTGGGCTCAGCCAAGGTTCTGACAACTCAAAACTGAGGTTATACAAATGCATTCCTAAACAGTTCCACTGAGCCAAGCCCCTGACAAAATAACAAATTCCTTGAATGGTTTCCCATATTGATGCACTAACACAAAAAAAATCCATAAGCAGACAAGACTTTAGTGTTTTTCTTAATTACACAAAATTGAAAAATGCCCCTATAAAGAGATTATATTTCTCTAGCTCAGGAAGGCACTTTCTATTCATCCTCAGCTACAGCATTATTAAGAAAAGAGATATTTTATCAAAAACATTATGAGAATTATCCAATTACACTTTTTAAAGGCCTTCATAGAGAAGTCACCTTTAGAAACTTATCCATGTGAAGTAATTTCTTATATATCAAGGAAAAGAAAATTATACCAAGTGTATTGCAGTTGAGTTTACTGTTTCACTAAGGAGAAAAGATTAATTCTATTTCAGGTAATATTTTTTGGTTTTGGGTTTGTTTTTTTTTGGGGGGGAGGGATGAGGGGGAGGGAGGATGTCTGGTTTGGGTTTGATTGGTTTATTTTAACACAATGATCTAACTTCCTCATCTCCTAAAATTGTTCTGTAACTCCTCCAGACTGAACTACAATTCTTCTGCTCCAAAACCATTGCAGGGCTTTGTCACCTTTGCCAGATGCACTCTTTAGCCACTGTCACTTGGGGGAAAAAGAAGCAAATTTGTTATAACATAATGTACAATTATTTAGTCAGGCACAGCACAGCAGCAACAGAACAATTCTCTTATGTCACAACAAAAAAAAAACCTGAAAGGCAAATAACAGTAAAAATATTTTAGAATGGTTCAATAAGAACACTTTTTTTATAAGTTATTGGATCTTAATTATAGCCCAGAGTTAGCAGCCTCACACACTTGGCTGCATCAAGTAAGCATCAAGATGATCACTTCATTTGACTGTTTTTATGCTTTAAAATCACTTTAATAATTCACTAGCTCAGGGATGGGACAATCAGCATCTAAAGAGAATAAGCAGCCCATGTGAGACCTGCACAGAGCTTCCAGCTCCTCCTTTGCTTTTTTCTTTCTTATTTTCCGCTCTCCCTCCTTTACATTATTCTCTTCATCTCCTTCATCTCACTCCACACTAGCATTTACACCTCGGCATGGGCACTACTGATATTATCTCTCCCTTCTTCACTGCTGGTTCAACACAGGGAAATATTTTGATTAGTCAGCTGCTGTAAGAAAAAACTAAGGTGTAAAGTATAATACAGAAGATATAGTTATATTAGCACATTTAAAACACTGTTAATGCATAAGCTCCAATTTACTCTTCACTGCATTTTAAAGGACTTCCATTTCAGCATCTGAAGTTTCTTTGCAGTTGCTCCTGTGCTTGGGAGAAAAAATTACTTTCAGAAACTATTACAGAGTTTATTGCTATGTAAATAAACACATCTTACTCATATTTTCTTCATCGTCTGCATCCATTGTGAAATATCTTTGCTGGTTTCTTGGCTGGTGGAGACGGCTTCTGGCTGGAAAACAGGGAGGGGGATATTTAGGCTTTAAGGTACCAATTTATTAGGTCAAGTTTTAAACATCCTTTAAAAGCAGCAGCCTCAGACCTGGGCTTGGCATTGGGCTGTTTGGATAAATCCTGACCAAAGATACCTCCTAAAATGGAGATGTCCATCAGTGACTGAAAGATGCAGCCCCAATCTGCCAAAGGACAGAGTGGGATGATGAAGATCACAATGAGGTCTCCCCAGTCTTCTCCAGGCTGAACAAGCCAAGTGCTCTCAGCTGTTCCTCCTATGGCTTCCCCTCCAGACTCTTCACTTCCTTCACAGCCTCCTTCAATCTCTAATAGCTTCATGTCTTTTTTATATTGTAGTGCTCAAACCCATCCCTAGGACTCAAGGTGAGGCCACGCCAGTCCAGAGCAAAGTGGGACAATCTCTTCCCTTGCCAGCTGGGGTTGCTGTGCCTGATGCTCCTCCTGGTTGCCAGGGGACTGCTGACTCCTACTCAACTTGCCATCAAACAAGATCCCCACAAGTCCTTTCCCACAGCTCTCCAGCCTCTCATTCCTCTCATGTCCTGGTCTATACACACAGCCAGGGTTGCCCTACCCCAGGTGCAGAATCCAGCACTTGCCCTTGATATTAAACCTCTCATGGCTGGTGACTGCTCAGCCCTCGGATTCATCAAGGTCTCTCTAGAGAGCCCCTCTGCCCTCGAGGGAGTCAACAGCTCCTTCCAATTTAGTATTGGCAGCAAACTTATTTAGTATTGCTTTGATTCTTGCCTCCAGGCTGTTTATGAAGATGCTGAAGAGCACAGGGACATGGATAGAGCGTGTGGGACCCCACTAGTGACTGAACACACACCTGACACTAACCCCATCTAGTATAACCTCTTGTGCCCAACCCTTGGGAGTTTACATTACACAACATCAGCACACTCCACTGTAACAAGAGGAAATTAGTTGACTGTAATCAACAGGACTTGTAAATAATTATCACCTACATTAGCACATCACAACAGCTCCAGTTACTCATGCAGCACCACTTTGTAGTCAAGGACAAAGGACTTGAAGAATTCCTGGTTTAACTTCTGCCAAGGAGATCAGTGAGTGCCCTGAGCCAGGGTAGAAGTGACAAAAGCTGTAGAGTTGTCCCACACTTCCACACCAAGGATAAACCCTCCTGAGGAGCTGGGTTACCTGCCTGGGCTCAGCACCTCACCCCACAGCCTAAAGGAGAGAAAAGGCAAGCTCCTGTCTGTTAAAAGCAGAGGAAAACAGAAACTCTACTTGCATAATTTTTTTAAAATAGTTTCAGTAACTGTGCCAAAATAGATTCTGAATGCGTTGAGGAAGATAAACAGCCAAGCAGGACAGTTGACAGAAGAGCCCTAAGGCACCTAAGAGATGCAATCCTACAGTGTTAATGCAGCCAAATGACACTAAGCTCCCTGTTTTAAGCTTTAACCACTTGTGTTTAAGAGTTAGACTACTCATGGCATATAAAGAATTATCACCTTTTTTCCAAATCCTTTCTTTATAAAAAAACACAGGAGTTAGCAGTGCTCAGCTCCTCCCTCCAGCCCCTACAACTGCACCAGCAGATCACTCTGGTAAAGAACATAAGAGGCATAGAACCACTGAGTATTTCCATAGATAGGAAGAACATCAGAAATACTTAAAAATGCAGCTGCCAACACAACAGAATTTGCTTTTATTTCCACGGGAGACTACTTGAGAAATTCTTAGGTAAATGTTAGCTATAGCAAGTACACAGCACATGAGGACTTACAGATAGCCTGCATTTCTTCTGCTTGAATATCCTAGGTATTGACTGCATGCAAAAAAAGTTGAGAAAGACTTTAAGAGTTACCTTGGTTTATTCTCTTTACTGAGAGAAAACCTAAATATGTCTTGAAAAGGAAATTTAGCAGCTAACAACACTTTACATTCAGTGAATGGCATATACGCAAAAAATCCCATTAACTTGATAGATGACACAGCACTATTAGAAAACAGTGTAAGTCAGAAAGCTGCAGCTTTAGAGAATTTTCATATTTGTTAAAAAGTCCTCTCCTTCCAAACCTTGAAAATCAAGTGAAATAAAACATGAGGAAATGCATCTTGCTCAAAGTATTTCCAACAAACTGGATTTCTTATGAATCCGAAGTCAAATGCTGAAGTTGCACTTAGCAAAGAGGTTCAAACCTCACCTGAAAGCAACATTTACAGCATCACCACCACCCCTCCAGCTACTCCTTTGTTCCAGCATTTAAAATCAGCAATACCTCTCCTCTCAGATAGCTTCATCCTCCTGCGTTTCCAGTGCAGTCAGGCCACGCTGCAGAGGTTCCCCCTGCCCAGAGCCATGGCTTGACACGATGCCACGCACCCCCTACCACCTGTGCCACCCCCTCACCTCCTCCCAAAGCAGCAGCAATGTATTCCCAAAAGGAGAGTTATCCCTGTGCTTCCTCTACCCAGCCCCCAGAACCATGGAGTGCACTGATGCACAGTCCAGTGAACAAAGATGAGTGAAGGATGCAGCTCACTCGTATCCACTGCCAGAGGCACATGTGACAATTAACCCTTTGTCACACAGAAGGGGCAAGGAAAGACAGTTCTCTTATAAAAGGACTAGATCAAAGATATCCTCACTGCTAGGTGTGGATTAATTTTATTTTGTTATTAATAAGGGAGGGCAACTCTTCAGTCTTGTAGCTCAGAAACAAGGAGAGACATAAGCAAGGAAATAGTTATACAGCATAGTGCATCAAACAAAATGCTTTCCACATACTTTACAACTATTCCTCATGTTCCCATTACATACACTGCCTCAAAAGGCACAGAATGTATTTGGAAATAGCAGAAATACATAAATATGCCAATCTCAAATATACTTTAGTCACAGATTTTCCATACAAGGACTTCTCTCAGGCCTGACCAAGAGGCCTCCCATTGTCAACATTACCTGTGGTATTTCCCAGCCTTTCCATAAACTAAAAAGTAACATGTGACATTATGGGATAATGTGGTATCATCCTCTTTCCCCATTTGAGTGACCAACAAAGATATGTTGATCCTGTAGATTGTACAGATCATGAGCACAGACTGAGGGTTGCAGCTATCCTTTAATCCTGCCCCCAGATTAAACATCACAGGACAAAAAAGCACTTTCTAGCAGGGAATGCCTGCAGGGGCAAACTCCATGGGTTTCTTCAGTCTGTTACTACAGTGGTAAGACTTCTCTGACCAGTCACCTCCAGCTGCTCTCAGACCTTTATTTCTCAGTACATCAGGAACACAGCACATGATTGAATCTAGATGATCTCTGGTAGATGACTTATATGCACCATCATATTTTGACAATTATCCAGGCTGGCATTTTTTGAAAGACATTGCCACTGGCATCTTAAATTAGCAGCACTTCACTAACCAAACCCAACATGCTCGAGCTCACCACTGGACCCTGCAGCTGTGACATCTCTACTCCCTTCCCTGTCTAGGTTCCCTGACCAGCAGGAGGCTCAAAGCCATGCTGCAGCCCCTATTTTACATATATATATAAAGCATATTTATATACACCACATAACGTAAGTTTTTTAATATACATCACATGAAAATCTCCATGCATTTAAACATCCTTGAAAATCTCATTTACTTATAGATTTGGCCCCTATTATCAGCTTACTTTACATGCTCTTTGAAGAAATACTCGTACACTGTATTTTGTAAGCACTTTTAAAGATTTTTTAAATTTTTTGCTCTCACAAGCAAGCTGGGTATTTTTCAAGCACAAGGACAGTATTACAGGCCAACAGCAGTTTTCCTCTTAGTTTTGTGTACTTCAGCAAGAACGAATATAAATTAGCATCAACTGCTAGAATTAGTAAGGCTAAGCTACAGCCTGAGAAGCTGCTCTGCACAGCAAATTCCAGATGCAGAGCTGCTGGCTGCATACTGGGAACCCCAAGAGCTCTGATATATAACCACATACTGGAGTTTATTGGTCATCTTGGAGTCTATTCTGCAGGTGATCAAAGCCATTCCAACTGCGCCATCTGCTGTTACATAAATAATTGAGCTTGCATTTATTGTTCCCTCAACCAAGGAAGTTTAGAGCTCTGTTCCCAATTAGAAATAACTTAAGATGTTTGCAGATTTATTCCTTTGTCTCTAACCTTCTTACCAGATTACTGTTAGGACTGAATTTCTCATTTTTAACATATTTTTTCCCAAAGGACACCTGTAACTGTCAGAAATGTATTTATGATGTGCTACCAAGGCAAAAGTGGTAACTATTCAGAGAGAAAAATTGAACAGCCTAGACCTCCCAGTAACTAATATTAATATTTTCAACATCACTTAAAAGATAACTGATACAGCTCTTCGGTGCTAAGAAATATAATAGCAAATTGGAAGAAATATCTAAACCAGCTTTAAAAGGGAGGTTAAAAGAGACTCAGATATCTTGAAGCTATTTCATAAAAAAAAAAAGTCAGATGTAGGCTGATGGTTTGGATTAGGAGACAGACTTACAATTTGGGCTTTTTTCCTATTTTCCAAATTTCCTCTTTACCAACCAAAATCAGTTATTAAGCTTTGCTCAAACACTCTGCAAACTCTCAAGTCCTACATGCCAGCTCTGCCTATTTACTTTATTAATATGCATTGCAAAAAACAAATTTGCAGAAGGGTAACTAACTTTTTGTAGGATCAACTTGACAACCAATATCCTCTCTATTTTCAAACTGTTGATCTGATAATTGTGAAGGGATTTAGAGTCCAAATACAAATAAAACTTACAGATAAAACAATGAAGTACTAAATAAGTGTTCAAATACATTAAGATGAAGTCTCTCTTCCTCCAAGTTATGAGCCAAATGCATCAGAATCAGAACAGAGAATCCTGCTCCACGTCTGCAAATGCAGTATGCTTACCTTTTTAACTATTGGAGACACATGCTGATTCTGCAACCTGCAAGAAGAGAAAATCCAGTCAATTGCTTGGTTCTTTAAAAATTTGTGCATTACAAATAGCAACTCCTGACCTTAAAAGGGACAAATTTCTGGTACACTAGAAATAAACAGGCCATACTACAGATACACAGTCCCAGAGCCAAGCCTTTTTGTAACCCTAGCAAAGACGATTTTGGACATTCTGTATAGAAAAAAAAATAATTAAAAAAAGAAATCAAGACTCAAGATGCCTAATACTGTGGTTAATAGTGGGGGTCAGAAGAAACATCCATAAGGTACAAGCAGTTACATAGTAGTACCCAATCTGAAATCTCTGCATCTTCTAGGAGAGCAGGTCAGCAAAATGTGGTAAATAATGGTTTAAAATTATCTGTGCTATCACAGCCAACTTATCCTGAAAGCAAACCCAGAGTTCTCATCTTGTTAGACTTTTTTTAATTTAGATCTTTAGTTTTTATTTTTAGGGATTGATTTGAACCCATATAAAAGGCCCCTCATACAACAAGCCCCCTTTCCAAACACCACTTTCTCGATCCCACTGACATCAGACTGCATTCTCCTGCAAAAGAGGAAAATCCCTCAACTACCAACAGTGGGGTGGAAAACAACTGGCAGATGTAGGGTAAAACACACACAGACCCATTTTTAAGGTCTCTTCCAACCCAAACTGTTTAGTGGTTCTGATTCTAAGGAGGATAACGGGGATCCTGTGAACAATTTTATTTCTATGAATAGGCACAGCTGTTGGATTAGGAACAGCTTTAATTTAACAGACAACCTCCTAGTTCTAAAAAAATATTGATGGGGCCTTACCAGAGTGAAGATAAGACTGTTGTAAAACAGTTCCAAAACCACAATCACACAGCCCACGAGAGGGTGCTGGTACCCTGCAGAAACCTGCACTGAATTCAAGTTACACAGAGCAGAGCTACACAACACAAACCGATGGCTCCACACCTCGGGTCTTAAACTAGAGGTTGGTCAAAAAAAAGAGATCTGACACAATATTTAAAGATCATAAAAGAGCATATTGCATTGATTAGATCTCAGCTTTTTTTTAAGACATTTTTATTTCCCAACACTCCATGCTGGCATTTTCCAATAAAAATAAAAAGATTACTGTAAATACTACGTTGTTCTTAGCATAAAGCAGGAAAAATACCCAGAATACTGAGTTCAGAATCCAAGTCCCAACCTAGTGTTCCCATATCCACAAATAAAAACTCCCAAGCTCTTAGAACATGAGCTATAAATTAGGTTTGATGTGAAAATCCCATATTTGTGGCAACAGCCACCAAAAAACGTATCTTAAAAACAAGGTTTTGATAATTCTCTTCCTATGCAAGCATTGCTTAAAGTTACAATTAATCCTGAGAAAACACACTGCTAATAGTTTTTAACTAAGTTTTTATATTAGTATGTCCTTGAGTTTATTTAGATTTCACATTATCTTCCTTATATGCAACATTACTCCAATCAGTAATTCCCTAACAAACTAAAAACAACCTATGAAAATTGAGACTTTAAGTTTACCACTGAGTACCAAAAGTCCTTTCATACTGAAAGCTGCAGTGAGGGAAAGAACCAGACAGGGTTAAGACCTAGGAAAGAAAGCTCATCTTAGTAATTATTTTTGTTATACTGTGAGCAGTAATGACAGATGAAGGAAAAACTGAGACTTGTAACACCTTGAACCAGTAAAAACTCTAAATAGCAAAGAAAGGGAAATACCACTATGTTACAAAAGCCAGGAACAAAGCTCTGATCTTCTGCATGTCCTACCTGGCTCTGTCCAGTGGCAAATGGCCATTCTGGAGCTTGTTCAAGTTATGACATGCTTCCCCAACACCTTCTGCAGGGAGAGCCTCTTTTAGGAGCTCAGCACTTTGCCACAGCATGTCCATATTGTTACCTTGCAAAAAATCCAATAAACCAATTCTTCGTCCCTTACTAGTGAATTCATTTACCCTGAAAAGTTTAGAAACATGTCCATGATTTCTCCCAGGGCAGCAAAGGATACTTGAAAATCATCTGAAGAACATAACACTTTGGCCTTTTAGAAATATCTCCAAATACTAACTTTTTTAAGATCAGTTGAAAATATATCAAGGCAATGAGAATCAAAACAGACATCTGAGGTACCACCTCAAGACATAAACCACCCAAACACAAGGCAACAACCTGTAGGCACTCAGCATCAGTCCTATGGTCAGGATAAAAAAAACACCACTTCCAATCTTTCTGTATTTACTTTACTGTTTATTTTACTTCTCACATGTTGAAAAAGAAAAGTAGTCTGTTGAGACATCTCATCTGCTGATGCATGACAAAAACCACAGGTACGTTAAAAGACATGTTACATTAAATCCAGTCAGGATATTCTGTGATTGTGACATGACATGTTTTTTCATACACCAAGTCATGAGTCTCTGCCATAAACTATAAAAGCAGTTCAACAGCACAGCTACAGAGCTGGGTTTTCCTCTGAAAATATTTTCCATCTATATATGAAGAAACAATTTGACATCTATGATATACTTCAGTTTATCAGTCTGAATTAAAGACATAATAGCCCAAATCCAGCCCACACTCCCTCCAGCCCTTTTGAACTGCTCATTTAAAAATCTAAAGTTAAGAAAGACTAGCAATTGAGCACCACAATGAAAAAAAAAAAAGTTTAGGAACAAAAAGGACATTATGTTGCAACTGGAAAAAGAAGTACAGTTTACTTATTATACAAGCTGTCAGATGCTTCTCCTTCCCTTGATATAAAACAAACTCTTTTGGAACTTACAAACAGGTACTTTTTATACACAAGACACTGAAATAAAGTTCACTGACACTTCAAAAGCTATGAAAATTCAGCAGCTATTAAGCAACAGGAATGCAAGGATAAAATAAAAAAAGTACTACTCCATCAAGTATTATCCAAGCTTTTACTGCAGGAATCAAAACAAAAGAATGTTCATAATTTATTCTAGAACATGGAATTATCCAAAAAATGTTAAGGAATAAACACAGAATAGTATTTTCCAAACATTCTCTCACAAAAAATGGTTTCACGTATTTGCATAGTATCAGCAAGAAACTCTTCACTTCTAACTTTTACTTTTGCCATCTCCTATGTTTGAAAAAGTGTGTTCACTGGTGTACTGGTACATCCTAAAGCCTCAATACAAAATTTTGATACTGAAACAACATTATTTCAAAATCAAAGGTTTTAATGCCACTCCTCTTTTTACAGGATCATCTCATGTATAAGAGCAGTTACCTTAGAAGAGAACGTAATTGAAACCAAAGGAATTATTAATATGAGCAAAATTACCACAAATGTCTTCAGAGCAGTTTAGGCTTTAATCTTGTTGTTGATGATTTCACTATAGCTAGTGTTTAAATATTTACATTACTTATTTAGCTGCTTTAAACATTAGTAAAGCAGTCCAACAGTGCAACCCTCCAGACTAAGCAGCAGCTTTTAAAAGGCAACCGAATCTAAGACATCAGTTGTAATTTCTGTGTTTGGTATTAGTGGTTTTTAGACAACAGCTAAAAAAGAAAAATAAGGGGTTTTTTACTACAGATAAATTGTGGACAAGAATTGTCCAGCAGAGACAGGACAACCTAGCCATCCTACCACACTGACCAATTCTGACACTGGAAGATGCTCTACCTGTGAGCAGATGTTGCTGCACCAACTGATAGAACTGCTGAAAGCTCTTCTCATTGCTACAGTGATCAACCAGGGTTTCAGCTTAACACATTAAAAACAAAAATACCTGTAAAACTTGCTTCAAGCTTGTTCTATGTATGTGCAGCACCTACTAGAGGAATGCCAATCTTTCTTCCTTTGAACAGCAGCGGTATTTTCCAGCCTTCACAACAAGGCAGACTTGATTATTTTCATTCTTACTCCCACCCTAGGGCAAAGATTAGATGCATGTGAACACTTTGTACTTAGCATTAGTCTTCAGAAAAATGCTTCAGAAATCAATGTTTAATAAAAGATGCCGAATAATTATCACTCAGTTTAACAGTGTTCAAATCCATGAGATTATGTTGTGCATTAAGGACATATGAGTATCTTCTCTGGCTGTTACCATGGGAAGTCACTCTCCACAGTCCTTAAATAAAGTTTATTGATTCAGGAGTGCCAGAACAAGGCACTTTATTCCCAGACCTCTGCTTTTAAAGACAGTTTGGGATGGCTGTGCTACTGCCTCCAGCCTCCTGGTATAAGAAGAGATTGCTGACAAAACTGGGAGACAGACTGGGAATTAGCAAGGGTGGAATGAAGTGCACATACTAAACCATGCCTGCTGTGATACACCCTTCACTGAGAGCTCCCAGAACATGCCTACAGCCTCAAGAACCAATGTGATCTACTCCTGGATTTAAAAGCAGAACACTCAGAGAGGCCAAGTGTCACCTCTCAGCACATGACATAAGACAAAGTGATGTGACAGAGACTTAAACAACCCAAATCACCGCAGAAAAAAACACCTTATGCAGCCCAGACAACAAATTTTTTCAATTTTGTTGATGAGAGGCAACTTGACGGCAGTATTGTCTGGAGAAGAAGATAAAACAGTAGAAGAGGGTGCTGCAACTTCAGTAAAAGGAGTTTATGTATAAGCTGTAAACAAGGCTTAACACAGACACTGCTTGTGCACTTCTCATACTGTCTCAGAACGGTTTGGGTTGGAAGAGACCTTAGAGACCATCTTGTTCCAAAACCCCTGCCACCAGTAGGGGACGTCTTCCAGGTCAGGGACACCTCCCACTATGCCAGGTTGCTCCAAGCTCCATCCAATGTGGCCTTGGACACTTCCAGGGATGGAGCAGCCACAGCTTCTCTACAGAACCTGTGTCAGAGCCTCTCCACCCTGAGAGCCAAGAATTTCTTCCCAATATCCCATCTAACGCTGCCCTTTGTCAATGGGAAGCCATTCCCCCTTCTCCTTCACTCCACACCCTTGCCTGAAGTCCCTCTCCAGCTCTCTTGAAGCCCCTTCAAGCACTGTAAGGTCCTCCAAGGTCTCCCCAGTCCTCTCTTCTCCAGGCTGAACACCCCAAGCTCTCTCAGCCTGTCTCCAGAGTAGAGGGGCTTTAGCCCTTGGAGCATCTTCAAGGCTTCCTCTGGACCCACTCTAACAGGCCCATGTCTTTCTTGTGCTGAGGATCCCAAATCTGGACACAATACTCCAGGTGGAGTCCCATGACAGTAAAGGGGGAATTTTGGCCTTATCCTTTGATTCCCAATGCCAGCCATTCTCCATTAGCCTGCAGCTCACCAATAGCTTCCCCCATCTGAGATACAGAACAAACTGCATCTGCTGTGCACAAAATGCCAGAAAGTACAAACTACACCAGGGGGAAAAGAAAAATCATAGATTGCACAAGTGCATCCAAAGCCAGGGCACCCACCAACAACCTTTTTACCAGACTCAGTATTATTTTTTAAATATATGTTATGCATGCAAAATGGAAGAGCTTTAGAGGTCTTTATTCCTTTAACTTGCACCTTATAGGAACTCCATGCACAGACAAGTTAAAAGATTGTGAAAGACCTGAATCACGCTATTTTCCCAACAAAGGACTGGGTTAGCTGCAAAACATGCTTCCAGGTCAGTTGTTTTCTTGCCGTTTCTCTATAGAGACTAATTTTGTGCTCTGGGCAGAGCTGGAGACCACAGAGGAGCAATGCAGGGATGGAACTAAACCACAGCAAGACTCTGGGCGGCTCTCACCCCAGCACATCAGACAAGGAAAAGACACCAAGCATCCCAGTGCAGCAGGGAGCAAAAAAAACAGTGGCTGCATCTTAAACTGAGTTTTCTTCTCCTCAGAGGCCCACTCTGAGGCTGTCCCAGAGAGGGAGCATAGCAGCAGCAAGCTAAACTAGAAACACCCCATGTTTGTGACTCAAGTTTCACTGACAGTCTGCATTTTCAGACTGGTGACTCCTAGGATTTTGATATATCTCATCCCTGTTTTAGGAAGAACAAGCTGCTGGACTTCTAAGAATATGAAAGTGTTACATTTCATTTTTACAGTCACATTTCTGCTTTTCTCCTACTAAAATATGAGCAGATTTAAAGAACTTCAAGCTAACTTTTGATGCACCTTGACTTCCCACCAGTCTTCTGAGATCCTGGAAGCCTTCCGAGGATCTGGCATGCAACTGCCTGTCAGGGATCTCTCTAACAGAAGACTGACTCAAGCTGCCTTCCAGAGCAGTTCCTTGAGTTATTCAATATTAAGTTACTGAATGTTAAAGAAACAAAACAAAACAAAAAACAACCCCAAAAACACCACACTTATGGTGTAAAATCTGAATGCCATCACCACTCAGGTGTGTGGGCAGGCTGCTTGCCATCACAGAATATTAGACATTTTTCAGCTACATTGTGCAGAAATGGGACTTACCACCTTCATATTCAAGAAAGTGTAATACATCCTGGAGTTTGACAAGGCAAGCAGGGAAAACACCCAGAAGATTTTGGATTAGGGCAGGAGGAAAGCAAGAGAGAGGCAAGATGCTGGCATGACCAGGCCAGGTCAGACCTGTGGCCTACGTTACTTGCACACAGAATCATAGAACTAAAGCTGGAAAATACCTCTAAGATCATCAAGTCCAGCTCTTAGACAGGACCCTCCATGTTCACAACTGAATCGTGTTCCATCCATGTGCCACATCTACACACCTTTGGAACACTTCCAGGGATGGTGACTCCACCACCACCCTGGGCAGACTGTGCCACAGCCTGGCCACCCTTCCAGGGAAGAAATCTTCCCTACTAGTCAATCTAAATGTGCTCTGGCACAACTTGAGGTCATTTCTTCTGGTCCTGTCACCTGTTGTCTGAAAGAAGAGATCTATCCCTCCCTGGCTACAACCTACTGTGAGGGAGTTGTAGGGAGCAATAAGGTCTGCCTTGAACGAAAACCACATCAGAGGGCAACTGGACCAAAACCTGTTGAGTGTATCAAGGCAGTGACTCAAGACTACATCAGACAGTCTTTGATGTATTCCCCCCCAAGGGCTGAGACGCTGGGACGTAACTCATATATTAATTTTCATTAGCCTTTTTGAGTTCAGATAAAAATTGATAAATAATAAATGATGTTAGGTTATCTGAAAAGCTGATTATTAAAGTTGTTCATGATAGCCAAAGTAAACAAGACAAATGGGAGTTGAAATACTTACACCTATTTTATCTACTGAGTTATTTACACAAAGTAGCCCCAAAGAATCTCCCAGCAAGACATACCTGAAACTAATATTTAAAGGGAAAGAACTAATATGTGATGAAAGTTCCAGATCACAGAATCCCAGACTGGAAGGGTTGGAAGGTACCTTAAAGCTCATCTCATTCCAAAACCTGCCATGGGCAGGGGCACCTTCAACTGTCCCAGGTCCTCTCCTACCTGGCCTTGAACACATCCAGAGATGGGGCATCCACAGCTTCTCTGGGCAACCTGTGCATACGTGATCCTGCCCAGCTTTGCTACCTCTTGTAAATCAGCATTACATCAAAGCAGAAGGCAAACAGAAGGACTACAGGGTGATACATAGCACAGGGAGCTTGAGAGATGTACCCTAAAGAGCTGCTCAGTCTACAAGAACAAATCAGAGTCTGACTGTACAAATAGAGGAGAAAAGGGAAAAAAGGAAACAATTATCAGTCCTGAAAGGGAGCACTGTACAGAATCAAAGGCAAGAAATAGTCTATGCTTTTCAGGCAGAATTGATACATGCTGCAAATGTTGGCAGAGCAAGTACACTGGATTAGCCCCAAGCACATCTATTCTTCTCCAGTCTTACAGAAAGCATATCTGGGTGGCTCCAGGAGAAGGGCAGAGCTGCCAGCCTTCTATGTGTGCCACACGCAGGCAGCAGCCGCCACCAAGCAGCCATGAGCTGTGGAGGAAGAATGTAAAATCCAAGAGATGCCAGCCTTCACCTGGGACATGGGGCACTTGCCTGTGATTTTGCTGGAGACCAGAGTTGTGCCTTCCCTGTTCAGTTGTATTTCCACTCCAGGCAAAAGTGGAGCCACCCAAGAAGCCTGCTGCCATCCTCCCCATCTCACAGGCCACACACATACCTGGATCACCACCACATCCTTCCTCTGTCTCTGCTGCTCCCAACATCAGCACAGGCATAAGGTCGAAGGATGACCCCACCAGAGGTCCCCAAGATGTTAAAACAGCAGCAGATCACCAAGGAGATCAGCACTGCTTCTGCACAGACTGTGGTGCACCTGCTCCAGGTAAGAGGATGGAAAATTCCCATTCCCCTGGCACACCAACCCAGAGGAGCAAATAACTCAAGATATAACATTTCCTTCAGGTTCAGGACAACAAAATCACAGAGTAAGAGCCATTTAAAGCCATCAAGAGTCCTTAAGAGATCTCAGCCACAGAAGTAGAGTCTATCAGTTCATATGCCAGAAAAACTCCATGCTGAGTGGAATCTGAATTATGAACCTACTTTAGTGACCTTTTACTGTAGTTATTTTTAGACTGAAGTTTTTATTCTGGACAAAGTACTGGAGATAAAATATTATACATATGCATGTATTTTTAATATATGCACATACTGCATGCATTTTCTGTGAAGTAAAGAAACAGCTGCTGATTCAGAAATATAGGGAATTGGCTGTTCTCTCAAGGATAACCTATGCACTGTGAACATGCACTATACGAGAAACCAAGACTTAGTTCTGGGAGGTGAAATTCTCCAATAAGAACATCAGCAGCCTCCTAAGATAGATCCAAAAGTCATTTATTCAAAACTACCCCACTGCACACACATTAAAGTAGTATTCACTAGCAGTGCTGCCAGGACAACTGCTGGAGCAAGAGGCATCTGTATGCATTTT